TGAGTCAAGAAAAATGAAGTTCTTCTGCGCATGTGTTGACGGATCAAGACTCAGTTTCCCATGATTCTGTGCAACTGCCTAGTAAGTGCGCATGCATCAACGGGTCGAGACATCATCTCCCCCGATTCATGTAGCTGGTAAGTGCGGGAGTAAAGGAGGATAGAGGAGCGGCATTACAAGTTAAGAGGTGATTAACACGAGTAGTGCAAAGAAATCTAAGTGAAAATGAATGGGGTTCGGATGACTGGACGCCTTGGGCGATAATAATAATAATGAGATCTTTAATGTCCTTCTGCACAGGCAGATGGGTATCACCTCTCATCCAAAGGACAGCACTTCCAACAATGTAGCACACTCCCAGCAAAATATTGTAATCACAGCCTAGACTTTGAACCCAAAGTCCTGATGTGGGTCTTGAATTCACAACCTTCTGAATCTGAGGCAAGAATATTGCCAACTGAGCTAGGTTCACATCTAATAATGCACTACAGGTCAATAAATAGAATCAGATCAGACAGTAAATTGTTTTGGAGTAGCTATAGGAAATGCTAAAGGCAGATTAGAACCTCCTTCCAGGTACTTGTGCAATCTTGTGTAAATCTTGATGTCCATTTAAAGTGTTTTGTTTGGAAACGGCTTTAAATAGCACTTTTCCCCTCAGTGTTTGAAAGCTAAAAAGACAGTTAAAATGCAGAGCAGTAGAGCTATTACAAAATATCTTTTATAAACTTACGTAATAGGAATTGTGTGAATAATTTCAGTAACTTGAGAACAGTTCTCCAGGATCCATCAATTTTCCAATTTACATTTTAATTCAACCTCTTCTTTCCCTGTGGTGATTAATGCATATTTCAAAAATGCGTAGAACATTTTATTTTGAGATGGTAGTTGAGGGAACCAAAATCTATGTGGGAGAGCCTACCAAGGTATAAAATCATGAGGGCAAGTCCTGTGGTTTGACATCGCAGGTTTCAGTGTAGTTACCTTTAAGTGGAATTACAAATATAGTTTGGATACCTTCTGTGATGCGGTCTGTGTGGCAGACAGGCAGGTAATATTCTCCCTTGTAAAGGCCAGACACAAGATCCACACTTTAAACAGTTGCTCCTCCTGAGATGTACTGTCTCATAGATCCATATCAGGATTCTTTTCTCCGACTTGTCACTTTCACAAGCTTTCTGTGTCCCATTTCATGAGATCTTGTCGCAAATTAGGAGTCAGCCTTTTGTTTCTAATCTTAAGTGCCCACAGATGTCTAGCCAGCCAGGCCAACTGATTCAAGCCCTTGACATCTTGGGTTTACTCATGAAGTAAGTGTAGTGTGCTTCCTGCAGGCAGTTTTGCTGTAAAATATGTACATCTATTATGGCTCCTATAATTGTGAATTTGCAGTCATGAAGCAAATGTAATGGAACAAAAAGTGTTTTGTGTTATTGGGATGAGGGTTGCTCCTATTATGTTAAAATTAATGTACTGTGACTATTGTTTGATGTGCTTTAAAAAAAATCATGTCCTTCAAGGTATCATCATTATTGTGTGAAAGGTTGACATGTATCCCTCCTTCACTAGGTGAATGTCATTTTACGATTTGTGTGCAATGTGGTTCTAATTAGTATTGCTGTGGCGAATATGCCCATAGTGACTCATAGAGTGAATTTTCTGTTAAATAGTAATTGTGTTATTGGCTAACTTTCAAAAGGCTTTGTTTTAGATGTATTTTTTACCTTCGACCTGCTTACTCCCCACTTCACTATAATAATAACCGCTTCCGTTCGGCTGCTCCGGCTATTTGCCTGAGCCTTGTCCTCTACGCTCCACCAACAGCATCCGGGCTTTCAGCCACTACGCCCGAAACTTTGGAACTCTCTACCTCAATCCCTCTGGGTTTTTCCACCTCGTTTCCCATTTTCAGATCATACCTGAACACCTTGCTCTTCGACCAAACCTATGATTACCTCCCCCTGGCTCGGAGTCAGGCTCTGGCATTGTTAAGCACTCCGAGAAGCTATCCTGTGTGAAGGGCGCTATATAAATACAACTTGTTATTTGTATTGGTTGTTGAATGAGACGATTGGCTGTTGTGTGCAAAAAAATACTTGCACTCAACAATGCTTCACAAACAGCTGTGATAAATTTTGCTGGGGGATTGTTGGCCAGGGCACCAGGAGAAACTCATTTCTCTTTTTAAATAGTGCTATTGGATCTTTAACATCCACTTTAATATTTCATCCGATGGTTGGCACATTCAACAATTCAGTGCTCCCCAAGTGTATTGAAGCCTTGGCTATGAGCTCAAAATCGTAACTCCTAGATGAGTGCTATCCTTGAACCCAGGGTGATACCCCATCCAATCTTCATTTCAAAACCAATTTTCTGTACACTCAAGGACCAAGGTTTCAAAATTAAGACTAATTTAGAATTTGTCATGTTCTGCACACTGAATACTAAGAACAATAATGCAAGTTTAGACATAGGTGGAATTTCTCTCCAAATATGCTTTAGATTATTTTACCTTGTTTATAGGTATTTTTGGCTATAATTTTGGTAGAGGCCACAACCACTTTTTGAATTTCTCTCTTTCCTGTCAACAAAAATAGGGGCAAAATGTATTAATTATGCAACAATGGTCTATTTTGTGAGGAAATCTGCACTGGTAATTTTGTGGAAAAACCCAAAATGAATACTCATCAATCAAAAATGTCAAAGGACATTTTCATTTGGCTTGAATGACAGACTGCTTTTGTTTTACATTCCCACTCAAAGCTAAACACACCAAATTAAACGGTCAACTTCACAATGAAATTAATACTATTTCTGTATAATTCACACATCACCAAGTGAAAAGGTGCTAGTTGATGCACAGGAAAGAGGAACTGATGTTATTTTCTGTAGTAGCTTGTGTAGAAACTTCTGACCATACATCTCCAATTTCCGGAGGATAGTCAGATGAGATATTGTGTCAAATTTGTCATGACTTGAGTTCAGCAACAAACTGAGAACAATAAAACTCTAAAACAAATACTCTCAGAGAAATACAGCCATTGATCCACCAAGCTTCTCCAGTACTGCTAACATCAGGAATTGTGGTGAGTTCATTTTTTTGTTTGTCCCTAGATTTGGTTTACAAAATATGGACACCTTAAATTACAGTAGCCTAAGCTTCTTGTCGATTTTCTGGATGCAATTACTCTGAGAATTCTTTAGAACACAGCGAGTAGCTTTCATTACTAAATTCCATCTCTGCCTCTTGAAAAATGTAGAATTAATAACAAAAGGATAAAAATAAGTAAGAGAATTGCATCATCTTATGGAATGTTTACTGTTTTTTCCTGAAGGTAGGTTTCTGCATATGTCAAACACCGGGCTGACCAAAACAAATTCTGATCGCTTTTTTTAGTAAAAAAAATAGCAGTCACTACCCTTTGCAATAAATCCAGGAATGTGTTTTGAGACATCCGTCCCAACATGATATTAAATGCAAGGATTGTGAGAGAAGTTGTGATGCCAGATATAATTGTAAAAAAAATGGCATTCATGCCCTTTTCCAGCTGAGGAAGGAGACTCTGGCTGCTGGGAGAGGCCATTTGAGGAGAAGAAAAAGTCCCTGTTCAAACCACTTTTCAGGTACTTGATGTTCCCAGTACCAATGTGTACTGAAGCACAAATTATGATGCTGTAGAGTCCTGCCTTAGCCATTGAGCCCCTCCTTTGAATTTCACAACAGATTGACTTTGGCTTTACTTTAGCTTTTGGAGGATTTCCCCTCATACTGTCCTTGCATACTGCAGAATTGATTGTATATGCTAACAGCCAGATGAGGTAATATTTTGGGGGTTGTTGATAGTTATATGACATTGCACTGCAGTTGTTGCTGTTTTCATGTTATAAATAAACACAAAATGCTTGAAGTTCTATTTGTGAAGCGTGTATTGACTACAATTCCAAATGAAAGGATTGAGCACAGAGTGCTCAGTGGCCATGAAGAGAATGTGAGTAGCATTTCAAATAGCGATTAGGCAACAATTCTAATAGTGTTGAGCTTGATGGTGCACAAGAATATAAATGTTCGTGCTGGTGTAGAAACCTCTCAGAAATCAAAGCAAAGATTTGTGGGCGAAACGTGGTACACATTTCCTTATTCCACAAGCCTCTGTTTACCAAGCAGTAAGTAGGAACCCGGCTATTAGTCGATTAGCAGCTCGCTTTTCCAGGTGTAAAAATCCCTTTTTAAAAAAAATAATAACTTGGTCACTCAATCCACGATTGTTTCTGGGACACTGCTATGTGCAATTGGCTACCGCGTTTCGCCCACAATATATACAGTCAATTCTCTTTAAAGTATATTCTTTGAAACGTATTGAGATGTCTCGAAGATGTGATAAAGCGCTATATTAAATGCAAGGATTATTATGGTTGTGAATGTGGCCACCCACAGAATAGTTTTATCTCTGTTTTTCTATTAACTTTGATAATTCTAGAATTCTAGTTGGAATGCATTTTTTGAAAGGAGAAAGAGGTGGAAACCTAAGTTTGTAAACATACTGCTGATTCTTCTACCCATGTCCAGTTTTGCGACAGGTCTCAAATCAGCTGAAATACTGTTTTAAATGTGTGCAGGAACAACAACAACAACAACATTACATTTGTATAGCGCCTTTCACGTCAGGAGGAAGTCCCAAGGCACTGGACAGTGTACAGCATTTCAGACCCGAGCTGGGGTCAGGGAGGGAGAGGGGAGGGGAAGGGGGGTGGCCGATGGTATGGTCGAAGAGGAGGGTCTTGAGGCTGGACTTGAAGGAGGCTAAGGGGGCAGGGCGGAGTGATTGGGGGATGGAATTCCAGAGGTTAATAGAACGTTAAATAGAATATAAAACAAGTGGCTTATTTCCTACTTGTAAGGATCTGAATGTACCTCAGGGTCGTTCATAAATCATCATTTCCTGATGTTTTCTGTTCTGCGACAGTAAACTAGTTTTTAAGCTTCTCTTTCTTCCATTCAGATAACCACTCTGCCCCGCCAGATGTAACCACTGGTGCTTCAGAGCGTCCTCACCACTTTGAACGGCCGCAGGTTTCCTCAGTCCGTGGGGTTCCTCGTGGCTTCAACAGTAGTGTAATGGAAACAGCTGATGGTGAGTTATTAATCAGCTTTATTTGTGCTTGTGTTCAAAACTCTGCCTTTGTCCTTTTAAAGTGACAACTTAAGAAACATTTGTTCTTGTAATCTTGTGCTTCAGAACATGATGAGCGTAATCTGCATCCAATTCAGCAATTTACATACAGCAATATTGTTTTCTACAATTTTTTCTTCAAGCAGAATTTTTCTGCTCATAAAGATTAAAGATTTTGTGGAATAGAATACTCTCTGGGCAAGTAGTGACCATACCAAATAGTTTTCATAATGACAATGTGCATACATGTAAATTGTATTGGTGTGTTAGCCTAGATTGAGATTGAAGTCCTGATGTGGAACTTGAACTCACAACTTTTTGACTCAAAGGAGAGAGTGTGACCAACTGAGCCAGGCTAACACTCAATTGACCTAATGTCCGAAGAAATTAAGATTGTGTGTCAAACCACAAACAATATATAATTCTGACATATAACCCTTTGTATACTTCACAGGTGTACCTGTAAATAGCAGAGTATCCTCAAAAATTCAGCAGCTCCTTAACACGCTTAAGCGACCCAAGAGGCCACCACTAAAAGAATTCTTTGTGGATGATTTTGAAGAACAGTTGGAAGGTATACAAGCCAAGAGGAAGGTGCAACAGTTTATCGTGAAAGGGAGTGTTATTTCTGTTTCACTCAATCCAGTTCTCTCACTACGACATCAGATTTCTAAATTTCTCACCAATGTACATTACCAGCCATTCAGAAAATTTGGAACAATCTAAGTCTTCTTGTCCCCACCAGGACTAAACTGTACAGTTTAGAGTACAGTTTCATTTGAAAAAAATTAAGTTTACCACACCTCTTGTGAGTTATCTAAATTTGATTTCTTTTCCCTACATAATCCGATTTCTATTTTAGTTTCACAACCAGATCCAAACCAGCCAAAGCCGGAAGGCTTACATATGACACCAACAGTGGGAGAGCCGCTAGGAGTGGTGACAAATTGGCCTCCATCGCTGCTAGCTGCTGTGCAAAGGTGGGGGACCATGCAGCCCAAAGCCTCCTGTCTAACCTCACTGGATACTACAGGGAAACCAGTTTATACACTCACTTATGGTAAGTACCTGTCACAATCCTCTCCAGGCTCCATTGGCTCCCTATCTCAAAGATCAAGATCGTCGCCCTCATATTTAAAAAAAACTTTCTCACCCTAACACCTCCCTACCTCTCTGACATATTCAGATATACTCCTCTCCCTGCCTCCTTCATTCAGTTAACATAGGCCTGCTGTGCATACTCCATGCCTTCCCTCCACCTCGCCCCCTCTTTATCTTCAAATCCTACCTTAAGACCTACCTTTTTGATGGTGCCTACGGTAGCCTCCGTCTTCTCCCCTGCTCAGCATACCTCTAGCCTTCATCCCTCACTGACCCCTCTTCTGCTCTCACCCTCCTCCACAACACCCTCTCCTCCACACTCGACACTCTTGCCCCCATCACCTCCCGTACTGTCTCTTACTGTCGCTCCTCCCCCTGGTTCACCACCCACCTCTACTCACTGAAGGGCCAGGTGTGGGCCTATGAACGCACCTGCCTCAAATCTGGCCTAACGGTCCACCGGCAAATCTGGCTGGACCTCCTCAAAACCAACCGCTCCACTCTAGCCTCGGCCAAGTCGTCCTCTTCCTCCAGGATAATCCTGGAGGCGAAGAACAACCCCAGGTTTCTGTTCTCTATCACATCTCGACTCCTCCGTCCCCCCCGCCACCCCGCGCAGGTCATCTCCTCTAACCTTCACTGCGAGGAGATGCTGGATTTCCTTGAATCCAAAATTAAGGGAATCCGCTCCGCGGTCACTGCCCCTCCAACTTCCACCCACCCCCACCCCTTCCCTCCCACACTCCGACTCCTACCCATCCCTACACACCTTCGAACCCGTTTCCCCACCCTCTGTTACCAACCTCATCCTATCCCTAAAACCAACCACCTGCTCCCTTGACCCCATCCCCACTCCACTCCTTATCTCCCAGCTCCACTTTCTTGCCCCACATATCACAGACATCATCAACCTGTCCCTCTCCTCTGGCTCTGTCCCCATTCCCTTAAAAACTGCCACCATCACGCCCACCTGAAAAAACCCTCCCTTGATGCGTCGCAGCTATCAAGCTACCGGCCCATCTCCAACCTCCCCTTTCTCTCCAAGGTCCTGGAAAGAGTTGTCGCCTCCCAACTGCGCTCTTTCCTTTCCACCCATTCTCTTTTCGAACCCCTTCAGTCAGGTTTCCGTGCTGCCCATAGCACAGAAACTGCCCTGGTCAAGGTCACCAATGATATCCTGACCATCTGTGACCAGGGCTCCCTCTGCCTCCTCGTCCTCCTCGACCTATCGGCAGCATTCGATACGGTCGACCACGCTATCCTCCTCCACCGCTTGTCCTCCCACCTCAACCTTCAAGGCCCTGTCCTTGAGTGGTTTAGGTCATACCTCTCGCACCGTCTTCATTTTGTTTCCACAAACGGCTTTTCCTCCAGCCCCCGCACTGTCTCTTGCGGTATCCCTCAGGGCTCTGTCCTCAGTCCCCTCCTCTTCACCCTCTATATGCTCCCCCTTGGTGACATCATCCGCAGACATGGGGTTAACTTCCACATGTATGCGGATGACACCCAACTCTACCTTTCCTCCTCTACCCTCAACTCCACGACAACCGATGTCCTGACAGCTGCCTGTCCGACATCGAGTCCTGGACGAGAGACAACTTTCTTCAGCTCAACGTGCGCAAAACTGAGGCCCTCCTGATTGGTTGGTGTCAGCGCCTCCGCACCTCAGGCGCTGACAGCATTAGCATCCAAGGCTGCACTCTCCACCTCTCAAAGCCAGTCAGGAACCTCGGCGTTCTGTTCGACCCTGAGCTGTCCTTTCTCCCTCATATCCGCGCCACAATTGGCACCGCCTTCCATCACCTCCGAAACATCGCCAGACTATGGCAACAACTACCCCTCACACTGCTGAAACTCTGGTCCACGCCTTTATCACCTCAAGGCTGGACTATGGGAACTCTCTCCTCGCAGGCCTTCCCGGCACCTCCCTCCACAAGCTGCAGGTCATTCAGAACTCTGCAGCTCGTGTACTATCCCGCACCAGGCTTCGTGACCACATCACTCCCACCCTCGCTCGCCTCCACTGGCTTCCCATCCCCCAGAGGATCGAATTCAAGATCCTCATCCTCACCTACAAGGTCATTCACGGCCTTGCTCCCTCCTACCTCTCCAACCTACTATCCCCCTACTTACCTGCCCGTACCCTCCGTTCCTCTGGCTCCGGTCTGCTCCACATCCCCCGCCCCAACAGCCCTACCATCGGTGGCCGGGCCTTCAGCTTCTCAGCTGTTTTTTCCTGTCCAACGAGAAAGGAAGCAGTCCTAGGGATTGAATTGGGGCAAGTGGAGCAGGTTTCAGTGGGAGAGCATCTGGATAATAGTGATCACAACATCATTAGGTTTGGAATACTTATGGAAAGGGACAAGGAGCAAAGGTGAAACTTCTAGAGACGATAATCCGGGACAAAATAAATTTTCAGTTAACAACAACTTGGATTTATATAGCATCCTCCACCCGGACAGCGTCTCAGAGCGCTTCACAGTAACGGATCCCGGGGCCGAGGAAGGTGACCAAAAAGAAAGGTCAAAAAGAAAGGTCTTCAGCCGAGACCTGAAAATAGGAAGAGAGGGGGCGAGGTGAAGGGAGTTCCAGAGCCTCGGGGCATAGTGACTGAAGGCACGGCTGCCGATAGCGGAGCGGAGGACTCGGGGGGACAAGGAATAGGCCAGTTAGAAAAATATGGGTTAATAAAGGACAGCCAACAAGGATTTGTTAAAGGCAAATCATGTCTTACAAACCTGATAGAGGTTTTTGATGAAGCAACGGGGTGGATGGTGTATATATATGGATTTTCATAAGGTTTTTGATAAAGTGCCATATAATAGACTTGTTAGAAAAGTTGAAGTCCACAGTATTAAAGGGACAGTAGCAACATAGATACAAAACTGGCTGGGAGACAGAAAACAGTGTAGTGCTAACGGTTGTTTCTCTGATTGGAGGGAAGTATACAGTGGTGTCCCCCAGGAGTCGGTATTAGGACCACCTCTCTTTTTGATCCATGTAAATAACTTGGATATAGGGAGTACAGTTTCCAAGTTTGCAGATGATACAAAGCTAGGAAATGTAGTAAATTGTGAGGAGGATAGTGCCAGACTGCAAGAGGATATAGACAGACTGGTAAAATGGGCAGATTAAATTTAAAGCGGAGAAATGTGAAGTGATGCATTTTTGGAGGAAGAATGAGGAGAGGCGACATTCGCTGATGATACAATCTTAAAGGGGTGAAGGAACAGAGTCCTGGGGATCCACGTAAGCAAATCTTTGAAGGTGGCAGGACAGGTAGATAAAGCTTTTTTTAAAACAATAGCATACAGGATACTCGGCTTTATAAATAAGGGCATAGAATACAAAAGTAAGGAGGTTATGATAAAAATTTATAAAACACTGGTTAGGCCTCAGCTAGAGACTGTGTTTAGTTCTGGGCCCCAAAGATGCCAAGGCATTGGAGAGGGTGCAAAGGAGATTTACCAGGTTGGTATCAAGAATAAGGGACTTCAGTTATGAAGAGAGGGTAGAGAAGCTAGGATTATTCTCCTTGGAGCAGAGAATGTTAAGCAGAGAATTAATAGGTTTTCAAAATTATGAGGGGATTTGATAGGGTGAACAGGGAAAAACTGTTTCTCCTGGCGGGGTGGGTGGGCGGTAATCCGAGAACTCAGATTTTAAAATAATTGCTAAAAGGACCAGAGGGGAGGTGAGGAATTTTTTTTCACATGGCGAGTTGTTTGGATGCATTGCCTGAAAGGGTGGTGGAAGTCAATTCGATAACAGCTTTCAAGATAGATATTTGTAGGGAGAGAGCGGGGGAATGGGATTAATTTGGATAGCTCTTTCAAAGAGCCGACGCGGACACAATGGGCCGAATGGCCTCCTTCTGTGCCATATAATTCTGATTCTAGGATTCATATGGAGAATTTAGCAATGAACTGTTTGATCTTCAGTATACGTCCTAAATAGTTGAACACTTCAAATTCTCTTTTAGGCAAGCTGTGGACTCGGAGCCTCAAACTGGCCTACACACTCCTCAACAAACTGAGCACAAGGAATGAACCTCTGCTGAAACCTGGCGACAGAGTATGTCACATTTACCTGAGACTAGCAAATCAAAAATATTTAAAAGGATTGAATAAACACTAATGGATCTGTCTTTCCTTCATAGCACTACTTGAGTTTTTGATGGCGGGAAAATGTCTCATGTTTTGAGTTTTACTCCTGTAAAGATGAAACAGCTGACAAAAACATAAAACATTCAAAATCTTGGCAAATAGATGAGTGCAGTGGTGTCCTACAAAATGATGACATTTTACTTCCCCAGTGAGAGACAGCTCTGACCTTAAAAACACAAATAGTCAGGGCTCCTTTGTCAACTGCATTATTTAAATTATTCAGACTTGGTAATGCGGATACAGGTTCAGAGATTTCATCAAATGTATTTCAGAGATTATTTTCAAATGATGTCTATCTGTCCACTTGCAGGTGGCCTTGGTGTATCCAAACAACGACCCTGTGGCATTCATTGTTGCATTTTATGGCTGTCTTTTAGCAGAGCTTGTCCCTGTGCCCATTGAAGTACCACTAACCAGAAAGGTAATACCAAACTCCATCTAAATCTTCGAACCCAGATGGCACAGCTTCTGCAGCACCTGTCTCAGGTTAATGAATTGTCACTAAGATTGTCTTTATGATACTGATGCTGGGTTGAAGTGCTCGCACCCGAACCAGTTCTACTGCTGGATATGTTTTAATGGATTCACTTACCATTTTTACTGTTGATAACTGAACAGCTTAAGTTGATGGATTCTGTGCAAATGTAGGTGAACAGTGTTTGGGTCCCTGGGCAGTGTTATGGGAGGAGGTGAATGGGCAGGTGTCGCATCTTGTGCGCTGGCATAGGAAGGTGCCAGGAGAAGAAGAGCAGGTGTTAGTGGTGATGGAGGAGTGGACCAGGGAGTCACGGAGGGAACGGTCCCTTTGGAATGCTGAGTGGGGAGGGAAAAATGCGTTTTGTGCTGGGACCACCCTGGAAATTGGTGGAAATGGCAGAGGATTATCTGTTGAACGTGGAGGCTGGTGGGATGGAAGGGGGACTATATCAAGATTCTGTGAAGTGGGGTGCTTGATGATGTAAGATGCCTGGCCAAATACAGAAAGCAATAGCCTTTACTTAAAATTGGAAAAAAGCTGGGAGCAAAATCACCTGATATTTATATATGGCTTTTTTTTAGCTCATTGGGTAAATTTCCAACAAATTCAGTTGAACAAAGTGTCATCACATTAATCGATGATTCTTTGTACGTGTAGAACCAAGGCCAGCAAAGAGCTGCTTTTTTTAAAATGTAAGACCTATGACCTGGGCCAATAGAAACGTGAGGCTGCAATTCATCTGCGGAATCCGCTATACACAGCGGAGTCCGCTATACACCCACTTAAAAAATGAAGTTGCAGGTCCCAGGCCTCTCACTCTGTTTACCTGCTGTTACTGTTGGTTGAGCAGCTGCGTATGTGCGGTGCGGAAATGGGCTTCACTCGCCTCGAAGGCTCCGCTGGTGAGATTGTGTGTGTGTGTGTGTGTGTCTGTCTGGCTCTCTCTATGTGTTTGAGTGTCTCTCTCTTCTGCATGTGTTTGTGTGTCTGTGTCTCTTTCTGTGTGTTTGTGAGTGTCTGAGAGTTTGTCTCCTCTGTATATATGTCTGTTTGTGATTCTCTGTGTGAGTGTGTCTATGTCTCTCCTCTATGTATGTATGTTTGTGAATGTGTCTGTCTCTTCTATGTGTTTGTGTTTATGAAGTGGTCTCTGTGAATATGTATGTGTGTTTCCTCTGTGTGTGTGTGTCTGTGTTTCTCTCTCTCTCTTGAGAATGTGAGTATGTGTCTCTCCTTCTGTGTCTCTGTGTCTGAGTATGTGTCTCTCCTTCTGTGTCTCTGAGTGTGTTTGTGTCTCTCTCTGGGTCTCTATCTGTCTGTGTGGTGCTGGGCCCTGAGATGCAGAAGGTAGTGAGTTCCTGTTAGTCCCGCAGACAGGACACTGGTCCTGAGTGTCTATTTTTTGACAGATCTCCAGGCCCTTTGGGCCTGCGCTAGTGTGTTTCTCTCCCCCCCCCCCCCCCAGATTTTGTTAAAGAAGAAATTAATTTTAACAAATTCCAATAGCCTAATGTGTTATTTTCTCATGTTTAAATTTTATCAATAAAATGAAAAAAAATGTAAGTTTGCGCTAAAATGTATCTCAATAGCACCAACCAACTCCCTGCAATTTTCTGCAACATTTGTCAAATTCCCCACAATCCCCCGCAAAGTTTCAAATTTCCCTGCAATTTGTGGCAAATATTTCCGCAATTCTCTATTGGCCCAGCCTATGACAACGCAAAGAGTTCGCAGCATTGCCACGTTTGTGGCACTCTTCATGCAGTGGCAACATGGTATAAACCAGTATTGAATATTGAGACCGATTTCATGACATTACCTGGCTTTTCTCATTGAAAATGTTAACATTCTTTTTGCTTTTGGTAGGATGCTGGCAGTCAGCAGATTGGCTTCCTACTTGGCAGCTGTGGCGTATCGGTTGCTCTCACTTGTGACGCTTGTCACAAAGGATTACCAAAAGCCCAAACTGGGGAAGTGGTTCAGTTTAAAGGTAATATCGGAATAATTGATAGAAAACCAATGGTTTGGTGAGCAAAATACCTGATTTTATCTTTAAATCTGTCAATGTGATAAATGTTTGAACCCTTTTGAAGAGACTACATTATTAGATTGGGATATTACCAAGAATGAAGGGTTTCCTGTTATGAAGAGAGGCTTGAGAATTTTTGGCAGTTTTTAGGAATATGAACCTGAAGCGCTGGTAGAGGTTTTCAGTGTTCTGATAGGGTAAACCAACATTATTTTCATTGGCTGACCATTCATTAAATAAATGTTAAAATAATCAAAAAAGTAAAACTAAAGGGCAGGTTACAAAACAAACTTTTATTCATAACATCCAGGCTTGTCGGCTTCCCCAATTCCTCCCTCCATAGGCTGCAGATCACCCAGAACTCTGCAGCCCGTATCCTCTCCTGCACCAAGCTCCATGACCCTATCACCCCCATCCTGGAGTCCTGTAGCTCAGTGGTTAGAGCAGTCGCTTTGCAAGTGAGAGACCTGAGTTTAATTCCAGGCAGGGCGAAATCTTGGGCAAGTTTCCTTACTCATATGCCTAATAATCCTCCAAAAACAAAAAAAAAATAATAAAGTGGTCATTTTCAATCTACAACTGTTTGTGGGACATTGCTGTGCGCAATTGGCTGCCGCGTTCGCCCACAAATATACAGTCAATTCACTTTACAGTATATTCTGTGAAGCGCTTTGGGACGTCTAGAAGACGTGAAAAGCGCTATATCAAATGCAAGGATTATTATTATTATCCTCGCCCGACTCCACTGGCTTCCCATCACACAGAGGATACAGTTCAAGATCCTGGTCCTCACCTTCAAACCCCTACATGGTCTTGCTCCCCCCTAACTCTGCGACCTCCTAAACCCCTACCAACCTGCTCGCTCCCTTTGCTCAGCGGCTCCAGCCTGCTTCACATCGCCTGCCGAACCCGCCCCACCGTTGGCGGATGGGCCTTCAGCCACTATACCCAGCATCTGGAATTCCATCTCGCAGTTCCTCCACCTTGCCCCCTCGTTTGCCTCCTTCAAGACCCATCTCAAGACCGTCCTCTTCGACCGTGCCTTCAATCACCCTCCTTCGACCCCCTCCCGCCCTCTACACTCCCCAATCCCGACCCCCAGCTCGGTTCCAAAACACTGATTGTCCAGCAGCTTGGGACATCCTCCCAATGTGAAAGGCTCTATACAAATATAATTTTGTTGTTGTTAAAAAAATAAATTAAAGGTTTTTTAGAGGAGGAATACAGGGAACAAGCAGTAGAGTGGGATTAGATTTTGAATACACCAATGCAGAATTGATGGTCTTGAATGGCTTGTTTATGTGCTGGAACATTCTATAATTCTCAACAAAACTGTTTATTCTAATTTTAGGTTGGCCTCGACTGAGTTGGTTTGTTACAGACGTTAAACATTTATCGAAACCTCCTAAAGATTGGTACCCTGTGATTAGAGATGCCATCAACAATATTGCTTACATTGAGGTATGTTCTAAACTAATTCCACCATTTAATGCTTTACTGGCCTTCAATTTTGTCTGACCAACATGTATTAGTTCATATATTTTTTATTGGTTCAGCAAATTGCAAATAATACTTTATACGAAAGTAATACATGAGTCGTCTTCAACAACAACAAATTACATGTGTATAGCTCCTTTCACGTCGGGATGACAACCCAAGGCGCTGTCTTCAGCTACATTCATGATGCAATCACATCAAATGACTATGGATGCAGCAAGTAGCACCAAGGATTTAGTCCATTGGATTTTTAAAATTTCAATTTCTTTTTGTCAATTTTCTTTAGGATCTGAAGTAGTTTTGCAGCTCATAGGAGTAGAGTCAAGTGGCATAACTTGGTCCAAAATTGTACTATGGTGTAAAGTTTTGGCCACAAAATGTACAGTCAATCCACTTTACAGTATATTCTGTGAAGTGTTGAAGACGTGGTAAGGCGCTATAACAAATGCAAGAACTATTATTATATGTTCTGTACACTGGTGTAAAGACCTTTCCGAAGAAAGTTTTCCGGGGGGTGGGGAGTTGAGAAGGGGGTGAGTTCTATTGGCTCCCCACTCTTGAAGGCTCTGGGGTACAGTTTCAAGGGAGCTACATTTTTAGCTTACTTAAGTTAGGTTATTCAAACATTAAGCACGAAAACTGAATTCAGTCTTATATTCATTTATCGGCTGATATTCCGGTCAGCATTAATCCATGACATCATCCTTAGAGAAACTGACCTGGAGCATCAGTCAGGACCCAAACTGAATATTATCTCAATCTGTCGGAAAGTCTTAACTGTGGATTCTAGCTGAAAACAGTCAGAATCATATCTGACCTCAAATTTATTTGGGCGTGTCAGTTGAGGTTGAAATGTGTAGATTTTTAGATTTTTGAGTACATTCAACTCTTCTGATTTGTTCCTGTTTCAGTATAAGACCAGCAAAGAGGGCAGTTCAATGGGCATCACTGTATCTCAGACTGCCATGCTTGCACATTGTCATGCCCTGACCCAAGCTTGTGGTTACACTGAAGGTGAGTTAGTTAAGTTGAACTGCTGTTCACCTATTATTCTAACCAACATTTATTTATATAAAAGAATTACAACATAACTCCATGATGAAGCAGTAGTTGGGGAAGGGGTCCATAAAACCTCTCACTTGCTTTATAATGGGGCGTAATCACTGGTTATTTCACTAAACACATGAGCAGAGATGGCATGCATATGGGGCTTCCTGGGTGGCAAAGGCTAAAATTGGAGCCATCAAGTCATCACTAATGTTGCTTCCTGCAAGTGTAGCCAACTGGTCATTGCTTAAACTAAATCCTTTGGGATCTTGTAAGCAAACAAACACTATAAGGGGGTGCCTTAGAAAAGGCTTGTACTGTACTTCTTAACACTTATTACACTTATTACAGTGAGATTAACACAATATCAGTAAGAGGTAGTGTACAGATTATAGTCGACCAGCCTGAGCAGTGATATTTATTCTATATTTACATTTCAGGGGAGATGGTAACAAATGTTTTGGACTTTAAGAGAGATGCTGGGCTCTGGCATGGAATTTTAACCGTGAGTAATTATTGATTATAGGTTTGTTCACTTTTTGAGTAACAATGGCACTCTTTGCATGTAAAGCAAATGTAACATCCATGCAGAATGAGGAACTCATTATGTCCACAACTTATTGTTCTCCTCTTGGTGTCTGCCTATAGTGTTTTCACTTCACACAAACCTTTCCAGCTGTGATTTTTTTTGTAAATGTGGCCTTCGATCTTATCACAATAATAATCTTTACATTTGATATGGAGCTTTTCATGGCAGGGAAAATCCCAAAGCGCTTTACAGAATAGACCATTAAATAGAATGACTATAATGAAAGTGAAGATTATGTAAATGCCACAAAAAATGTAATAATAAAGAAATCTTGCTGACCATTTCTGTGGAGAGATTTGACTATTAAAGTTGCTTTATGTTTCTACTTTACTGTTGCCAAACTTGATTCACCTGTTAGATTCTAGCCCCAGTTAAATTTAGATAAAACCTTGGTTAGTACTTATTTGAGGTACTGGATCCAGTTCTGGTTGCTGGTACTACAGGAAGGATATTGTAATAATGGAGTGAGTGTGTTGTAGATTAGCCAAGGAAGGTTAGATCTTTTCTCTCAAGATGAGATGATCAAGTGGTGACCCAATGGAGGTGTTTAAAATTATGAAAAGATTTAATAAGGTGGACATTAATAGACTGTTTCCACTTGCTGGTGAGTGCAAAACACTAGATAGCCATAACGCAAAATAGTTACTGAGGAAAGAGATGTGGCTATGAAAGTGGGTTTTAGTGAACACATCATCAAACCCAAGAAGGGAAACAGGTAGGAAAGAAGATGAGCAGGGTAAAAGGGAAGAACGAAAGTCAGGTCGAAGAGAAGAGCAGAAGTTTTCAAGGTAGGCATTCCTAGAAGAGAAGTGGCAGTGAATTAAGTGTAACCAAAATGTTACAGATTTGATGTTACAGAACATCAAGCCTGTAATAGCACACTGATTTATTAGAAGCTTTTAACAATACAAAAACAAATAAGGGCATTTTTAACACAAGGTGAAGATATAAAATAGGGGTGACCGCAACAGTATGAAATGTCTTGAGATGACAGTCTTTGCTTATTTATGTTGTGCAAAATTGATGGGCATTGAAATCATCAGGATCAAAATATGTCAAAATGCAAGTGTGTTTTTTCCTGTACCTGTTCTGGCTCACCAATTGATGGATGATGCCATCATTCAAAAAATCTACAAGATAACTATAACTATTTTTCAGCTCTGCCTCAATTGTTAGGAAAAGTGTAGCTAAACTATTAATTATTTGTCACTAAGCCAGTCAGGAACCTGGGTGTCTTGTTTGACCCTGAGCTGTCCTTTCTCCCCCACATCCGTGCCATGACCGGCAATGGCTACCACCACTTCCACAACATTGCCAGACTCCACCATTGCCTCATCCCTCAGGCTGCCGAAACCCTCACCCATACATTCATCACATCAAGGCTCGATTATGGAAACACCCTCATCGGCCTTCCCAACTCTTCACTTCACAAGCTGCAGATCATCCAAAACTCTGCAGCTCGTGTACACTCGCGCACCAGGCTCTGCAACCCCATCACTCCCACCCTCGCCCGACTCCACTGGCTCCCCATCCCTCAGGATCGAATTCAGGATCCTTGTCCTCACTTTCAAAGCCATCCATGACCTTGCTCCCTCCTACCTCTCTGACCTGCTGACTACCTACCAACCTGCCCGCTCCCTCTGTTCGGCAGGCTCCGGCTTGCTCCATGTCTCCTGCCCAATCCGTCCTACCATTGGTGGCCGGGCTTTCAGCCTCTCTACCCCCACACTCTGGAACTCCATCCCACGGTCTCCTCGCCTCGCTTCCTCCCTTGCCTCCTTCAAGGCCGCTCTCAAGACCCTCTCTTCGATCATGCCTTCAATCGCTCTCCCACCTCTCCTCCTTCCCTCACCCCTACCCCACCCCTCCCTCATGCTCGGGTCCTGACCCCTGACTGTCCAGCGCCTTGGGATGTCCTCCCGACGTGAAAGGCGCTCTATAAATGTAATTTTGTTGCTGCTGTTGTCACCAATTCTTTGTGCATCTCATTGACAGAGTGTCATGAACCGGATGCATGTGATCAACATCCCATATTCATTGATGAAGGTGAATCCTCTTTCATGGATACAGAAAGTTTACGCCTACAAAGGTAACGTTTTTTGAATATAGCATGAAATAAAAAAAGATTATTTCAAGGCAATGATGAGTCAATTGAAATATATAAGAGGGAGGTAGATGAATATGCTGGTAAACTGGGGTATTGGAGAATCAGGTAAGTAGGACTCTCTCAGAACTGAGGTTGCATACTCCAAGGCACTGCTGATAGACCAGCTAGCCAAGCTTGTCAGGGCAGACTACACTGGGGGCAGGAATTTTTCCCTCTTGGCTCCTCTGAGCCCTACAAGCCCTATCGGGTCAGGTGGTCCAAGTTGGACAAGGAGCAGGAAGCTTCCTAGACATTGCTCTGCATATTAAGGTGGTTTTAGCTGATTAAACTCCAGCAGTACTCCAAAATGCACTCTAGGGTCCTCGAGTCAGACAGAAAGAAATGTTGATACGTAGGTGACATATATGTGGAACTGTGTCTGGTTGTATAATCTTAAGCATTGTGATGGATATCCACCTGTCTGAGAAAAAACAAAATCAGTTATAAGAACATAAGACATACTCGGTGAAAAAAGACCAAGGTCCATCTAGTTCGCCTTCCACCTGCCTGGTAGTCGCATGCACATATATCCCAAACTACCTATATACTATATCCCATGATCTTATTTCCTAAAAGAAAACTATCTAATCAGTGTTTCAACATTTCCTGATTCAACCATCTCCCTAGGGAGCCTGTTCCACAGGTTTACTATTCGCTCAACGAAATAGTGTTTCCGTAGACTCATTCTGAATTTACCGCCCCTTCAATCTCAGGCCGTTTCCTCTGGTTTTACTATTTTGAACTAGTTGAAACAGCCTGTAATGATCTATATTGTCCAACCCTTTAAAATGTTAAAGAAAGCAATCATATCTCCTCTCAAATTTCTCTTTTCCAGGCTGAACAAACCCAATTTACTTAGTCTTTCCTGTCCAGTCCCATCATTCCCTCAATCATCCTGGTTGCCCTCCTCTGGATCCTCTTGATTATTTTTGTACTGCGGTGACCAGAACTGTACGCGGTACTCTTAAGTACAATCTCACTAATGATTTATACAGTGGCAGGATGAGCCCACTATTTTGGCTTTCTATTGATCTTTTGATACATCCTAACATTTGGTTTGCTTTATTCACTGCCACAGAGCATTGTTGCAAGAGCTTCAATTCATTGTCAATCAGTACCCCCAGATCCTTTTCAGTTTTCATACATATTGTTATCTTTCTGAAATATTAAGTCCCTTCCAGGATTTTTAGTCCCCATGTGAAGTACTTTATATTTCTCCACATTGAATTTCATCTGCCACCGATCTGCCCAATTCCCAAGTATGTTCAAATCCTCCTGTAACCTATCTTGTTCAGCTTTGCAATCTACCACATAGCTTTACAATTGTTTAATTCTACCCAAAGTGATTCTGTATCTGCCCTTTCCTTTTTTATATCCTGTCTTATTTGTGACTCAATAATGATGTGTTTGAATAGTGCCACACCTCCTCCTTTGAAAAGCTATTCATTTTAATTCCATTTTCACGTAAGTGCATCCTCCCTAATTCATTTAATCTTTGAGGGGAGTGAATAACCATGTGTAATTCCCTCCAAAGAAGCAAGTTGTTTTCTTGGTCTCCTTAAACACCTACATTTGCAGCTGCCACCAGACTTGTGATCAGAGTTCTGAGATGTATGCTCCACTGTTTGGAACGCATCCCATTTCTTCCACCATCAATTGTAACAAAGTCCAATCATTTATAAAATGTTATTTCAAGAGATTTTTTTACCAGTAGAGTGTAAACAAAAAATCTGTTGTTTCCTTGCAGCCCATGTTGCTGTGGTAAAGTCTCGGGACATGCACTGGTCTCTCTTAGCTCAGCGGGATCAAAGAGATGTAAACCTCAGCTCTCTACGAATGCTGATTGTAGCAGATGGTGCAAATCCTTGTAAGTATGGAGCTAGTTTATGCCTTTGACTACCGATAGTAACTGTTTCTCAATGATAATGGTCAAATGGGGATTCTTTACCTATGTAAAAAGGTTATAAAATTTACGTGCGCTGATTCTGCACTTGTTAAAATGGCGTATTTTGTTTCAGGGTCAATATCCTCTTGTGATGCGTTTGTGAATGTGTTTCAATCACGTGGTTTGCGCCCTGAGGTGATCTGCCCATGTGCGAGTTCATCAGAAGCCATGACAGTGGCTATTCGCAGGTACAGTATATTAAGAGCATCCGAGACATTACTCCGTATGAAATGCAAATTGTTGTTATATAGTCCTTCACCTAAAAATATCTCAAGGTGCTTGACAAATATACTGGTGGGTAAGGAACAGGGAGTAATAATCTCTCCAAAAAAAAATAATAAATTGGTCATTTTCAATCCACGACTGTTTGTAGGACATTGCTGTGCACAATTGGCTGCCGCATTTCGCCCACAAATATACAGTCAATTCACTTTACAGTACATTCTGTGAAGCGCTTTGAGACATCTAGAAGACGTGAAAAGTGCTATATCAAATCTAAGGATTATTATTATAATTATTATTATTAAATGCATTTTAATGCTGACTAACAAGCACAGTTGAATGAATAGTTTAGAATAGCTTTTTGGGGAGAGAGAAGGATCAAGGTAAAGTACTCTTCCCACAATGAGAATCTTGAAATCACTGGTTCCCAATAGAGTTGTTTTGACATTGGATTTCTTTATCCATTTCGCATTCTATGCTGATATTTCTGGAATATATTGGCAGACCTGTTGTTGAATATATAGTTCATTGTTTTAGTGTGAACTCTGCAAAATTGTGCAAAGTGCCATGAATACTATTGAAATTGTATTAATAATCCTGGTATTTGATGTAAAGCCTTATGTCGATCTCAAAGCACCTCATAGAATTTAATGTGAAGTGTGGTGACTATTTTGCAGACCAACGCAAGAGCTAATTTGTACAACAACATTACATTTGTATAGCGCCTTTCAAGTCGGGAGGATATCCCAAGGCGCTGGACAATCAGTATTTCGGACCCGAGCTAGGGATCGGGGAGGGTAGAGGGCAGGGGGGGAAGGAGGGTGACCGAAGGCACAGTCGAAGAGAAGGGTCTTGAGACAGGTCTTGAAAGGAGGGCAAGGGAGGGAGCAAGGTGGTGGAACTGCAGAATGGAGTTCCAGAGGGTGGACACAGAGTGGCTGAAGGCCCGCCTACCGGATGGTGGGGCATGCAAGGTGGGGTACCTGAAGCAGGCTGAATGAACAGAGTGAGCAGGTTCTTAGGGGGTCACAGAGGTAAGGGGGGGTAAGGCCATGGAGGGCTTTGAAGATGAGGACCAGAATCTTGAACTATATTCTCTGTGTGATGGGAAGTCAGTGGAGTCGGGTGGGGGTGATAGGGTTGCGGAGCCTGGTGTTTGAGAGGACACGGGCTGCAGAGTTCTGAATGATCTGACGTCTACGGAGGAAGGAATTGGGGAGGCCGACAAGCTGGGAGTTTGGGTAGTCAAGCCTAGATGTTGTGAATGTGTGTATGAGGGTCTCGGTTGCCTGCGTTGTGAGACAGGAAGTCCAACATCTCGCAGTTGGAATTAGAGGAGAGGATGTGCGAGGTGCAGGAAGGTTAACGGAGAAGGTGGTGGAGAAGAGGAGCTTGGGATTGTCCTTGGTCTCCAAGATTATCTTGGAGTAAAAGAATGATTTGGCAGAAGCAAGGGTAGAGTGGTAAGTCTTAATGTGGAGAAGCCTGATCTGCCGATGGACTGTTAGGTTTGATTTAGTCCAGGTGCGTTCAGCGCCATGGACTGTACACAGTAATGTCCCACAAATAGCCATGAACTAAATGTCCAATTTTCTCTGGATTGTTGGACAGGACATGGAAGAAACTCCCATCTCTTTCTAATAGTGAGAGTTTGTTTTTTAAAAAAAGAGCTTTAATTTAACATCTCATTCAAAGTAAAACAGTGTCCCTGTAGAGCTTGATGACATTAATGGCTTCACTTCATTGCAGACATAGTGACTTGGGAGGGCCTTCTCCAGGGAAAATGGTGTTGTCCATGAACGGCTTAAGTTATGGAGTGCTGCGCATGGATACAGAGGAGAAGCTCACTGTTTTGACAGTGCAAGATGTTGGCGCTGTTATGCCTGGAGGTAGGACTTTTCTACTAATTCTATTCATTAATATGAATCTCCAGAGTCCAGCACATCTCTTTAATTTCAGGTGTCTTTTATTTGGATGCTTATCTTTGCACATTTATTTCTAGTTGCTTAACTGGGACATATATATAAGCTTATTATTTTGCAAATGATTACCAGGCTATAGCCAAGCCCAGTCCTATTTCCATCCAACATCCTCACACACATACTTTGCAGCAGAAGTGACTGGATAGCAATCAGAATCATTCCTTCTGCTAGTTGAGATCAGTTAACTCAGCACACAACAATAGAGTTATTCAGATATCCGTCCATTCAACTAAACAAAGTGAAGTAGGCATGGTGGGGCCCTAACTGAAGGAAATGTAAAAAGAAATAGGGGAATAAATGCACCACCTCTTAACCAATTGTAATAATACAATACATGTTGAAAAACATTTGATGTAATCTAGAAACCAAATTATCTGCTTGTTTATCAGAATCCTATTTAAATGTATTGCAATGGGATTGATTGATGAAGGGCTGCCTTGCATGCATGAGATCAGTCTCAATGGCCTAATGGTAACATGGGAACAACAAGATTTAGTTTAAAAAATCTTGTCATTTGACCATTAACTTTCCATGCTGTTTGTTCCCATTGCAATACATTCACGAAGACCATTGTAACTCGCGCATGATTTTGTCACATCTGTCTTTCTGAATTGGTATACTTTTTTTACTTTTCTCTCTGCCCTCTTTGCCCCACTTTAGCGCTGGTATGTGTTGTAAAGTTTGAAGGCGTCCCACATCTCTGCAAGACAGATGAGATTGGTGAGATCTGTGTGAGCTCGCCAGCATCAGGGACATCGTACTATGGGCTCCCAGGAATGACAAAGACTGTGTTTGAAGTAAGTGTGCAGAAATGATTTGAAATGCACTATGAGAGTTGTTCAGCAAATTGAATAAAGATTATATTTTTATTCTTCCACATTCATTTCACTTAAGAGTAGGAATTCCTTCTATTCCCACAAGCAGCTTTTGAAAAGCAGTTTTGTGCAGATGTGCAGAATGCCTCAATGAGTTGCCTTTTTTTGGCCACGTTTCACAGTAATATGGAATGGGGAGTGTATGTCTATTTTTCCACTGCACATTGTTGAACTACTGGGAGCCAAAATGTTTCCCTCTGGCAGCAGTAATGTAGTTGATGAGTAATTTGAGGGAATATGTTAGAGCGCAGTAATATTTGAGTGACAGTATTATATTTAGCACTTATGGAAGTGCCCATATCAATGCTCAATGCTAGGGTTCAGCATTTAGAGGCCTTTTTGATCTGTGTTATAATTGCTTCAGCAGCATTAGTTTTTATGTTGAGCATGTATTGCATTCAGTTTATTGAGAGTTGAGTCAAATTTCCAAGCTTTTTCTTGTTATTTTGAATTTTCCAGATTATGGATTTGCTTTATGTATGGTAGGGTTTTTTGTATGGTATTTGGTTAATATATGCTGTGTTTTCAGGCTGTGCCAGTGAATACTGGAGGAGTCCCCATCAGCGAAGATGTCTTCACCAGGACTAACTTACTTGGCTTCCTTGGATCTGTAAGGAAACCTATTTGATTTACAGTGTCTGTTACTTTGATTTAATCTTTGGGATACTAACTGAGGAATTGTGGGATACAGATTTTATTCCATTCACGAAGACCATTGTAACTCGCGCATGATTTTGTCACATACTTTCTCATATACATATCCTTTCACCCCAAGCACAGAACTCCCTATCTCTCCAACCTGCTCGTACCTCACTCCTCTGCCCCCCACCCCCCATTGCTCAGTTAACACAGGCCTGCTGCGCATCCCCGTCACCTCCACACCACCATCAGTGGCCAGGCCTTCAGCCATTACACCAGTAATCTTTGGAATTCACTGCTTCAATCCATCTGTTTTGCCTCTTCTTTATCTATCTTTAAATCTCACCTGAAAACCTACCTCTTCGATCATGCCTATGGTCACCTTGCCCTTACCCTTCTCCCTTGCTCGGCGTCCAGCCCCACCAATGTACAGCATTCCAAGATGTTACCTTATGTGAAGGGCGCTATATAAATGCAAGTTGTTGTCACCATTAAACGGATTTTCTTGTGAGGGAAGTAAACTTGAATTCCCACTGGTCTCGATTATTTATGCTTTGTCTATTGGTGATTGTGATTGTTATAATGAGGGCAGGAGATTCTAATTTCTGAGCCTGTTTGGGGCATATACAACAACAACAACAGATTACATTTGTATAGCGCCTTTCATGTCGGGAGGATGTCCCAAGGCACTGGACAGTGTACAGCATTTCAGACCCGAGCTGGGGTCGGGGGGAGAAGGGAGGGGAGGGGAAGGGGTGGTCAAAGAGGAGGATCTTGAGGCAGGACTTGAAGGAGACTAAAGAGGGGGTGAGGCGGAGTGATTGGGGGATGGAATTCCAGAGGTTGGGAGGAGAGTGACTGAAGGCTCTCCTGCCAATGGTGGGGCGGGTGGGTCAGGGGACGTGGAGCAGGCCAGAGCCGGCTGAGCGGAGGGAGCGGGCGGGTTGCTAGGGGGTTAGGAGGTCGCAGAGGTAGGGTGGGGTGAGGCCATGGAGGGCTTTGTATGTGAGGACCAGGATCTTGAACTGGATCCTCTGAAGGATAGGAAGCCAATGGAGTCGGGCGAGACTGGGGGAGATGGAGTCATGGAGTTTGGTGCGGGAGAGGACACGGGCTGCAGAGTTCTGGATTATCTGCAGCCTGTGGAGGGAGGAGTTGGGAAGGCCAACAAGCAGGGCGTTTGCATAGTCGAGCCTGGAGATGATCAAGGCATGAATAAGAGTTTCAGCGGCCTGAGGGGTGAGGTAGTGGCAGAATCGGGCAATGTTACAGAGCTGAGGGAAGGCAGAGCGGGTCATGACTTGGATGTGGGGAAGAAGACAGTTGAGGGTCGAACAAGACACCTAGTTTCCTGACTGGCTTGGTGACCATGGAGGTTGATACTGCTTGAGGTGCAGAGCCAATCAGAAGGGCCTCAGTCTTGTTCACATTCAACTGTAGGAAATTTGCCCTCATTCGGGACTTGATGTCCGACAGGCAGTCTGTTAGGACAGCAGTGGTCCTGGAGTAGAGGTGGAGGCAGAAAGATAGAGTTGGGTGTCATCCGCATATATGTGGAAGTTGACCCCATGTCTGCGGATGATGTCACCAAGGGAGAGCATTTAGATATTAAAGAGGGGAGGGCCAAGGACAGAGCCCAGGGGGAACCAGACGTGACAGTGCGGGGACTGGAGGAGAAACTGTTAGAGGCAACAAAGTGGAGACTGTGAGAGATATAGGAATTGAACCAGGCAAGGGCAGGTCTGCGAAGATTAAGTAAGGAGGAGAGGCGGTGTATGAGGATGGAGTGGTCGACAGTGTTGAAGGTGGCAGAGAGTCGAGGAGGACAAGGAGGCAGAGGGAGCCCTGATCACAGATGTTCAGAATGTCATTAGTGACTTTGACCAGGGCTGTTCCCGTGCTGTGGGCAGCGCAGAAGCCGGATTGGAGGGGTTCAAAGAGGGAATGGCGAGAAAGAAAGGAGCAAAGTTGGGACACGACGACTCGTTCCAGGACCTTGGAGAGGAATGGGAGGTTAATATTAGAGATATAAATGTAATACTCAGTGGAGTGTTTTTGTAACAAAGCTGTTTGTGCAAACCCAAAACTGTAATAGGTGATAAATCCCAGAAATATGCATTTGAGCTACACTATTTCTGACTAATAGCTGTTGATGAAGATTTGTTTTAATTTTACTCTTCTTGCCTAAGGGAAAGCAAGTATTTGTTGTGGGCAAGATGGATGGACTGATGGTGGTGAGCGGACGGAGACACAATGCAGATGATGTTGTGGCAACAGCCTTAGCGGTGGAACCAATGAAGTTTGTGTACAGAGGGAGGTGCGTAAATGACAGATAACATAGCTGTGCCTTTGATTAAAGTTGCAAGACCACTTTTGAACTTCTTAATCTCTCTAAATTCCACTGTCCCCATTTATGATTCAGATGCTATACATCCCTTTACACAGGGAAGAGACTTGTGTCAATTTTGTATTCTGTAATGAACCTTCAGATTAGATTTCCTTTATTCTATTTTAGGATAGCTGTATTCTCAGTGAATGTACTCCATGATGAGCGTATTGTGTTGGTGGCAGAACAGCGACCAGATGCTTCTGAGGAGGACAGTTTTCAGTGGATGAGTCGAGTCCTTCAGGTAAACAAAGGGTTATGGTTAGGATGTGTCTTGAAGTGATTATTTTACTTGTTACAAAGTTTAATTCCATGTGAAGAATATTGAAACCCAAATCATGATTCATGTTTTGAATATGCTGTGCTTATCTAATTAAGGCAATGGGAGATGTTGCTGAAGTAACTGATTCTTTGGGATCCATACCAAATTAAGTACAGACTCCACAGTTCTCATACTGTATTTTGTTCTTATTTCCTTCCTGTTAAACCTTAATTTGAATATAGTATTGGAAGTTACATTGTTGGATTCTTCATTTAGTTGTGGAATATTGACACATTCTGCTGATATAGAATGGAATACAAATTGAAATGTGGTTCAAAGCCAATAAATGAAATGTTTCCAATTCTACTGAAGATTTATTGTGATGAGCCTTCAGATTTCCAATATAATAATCTTTTGCTGTTCTCTCCCAGGCTATCGACAGTATTCATCAGGTAGGAGTTTACTGCCTGGCACTGGTACCTGCTAACACACTACCCAAGACTCCACTGGGTGGCATCCACCTGTCTGAGACCAAACAACGCTTTCTGGAGGGCATGCTGCACCCGTGCAATGTCTTAATGTGCCCCCACACCTGTGTCACCAACCTCCCAAAGCCTAGGCAGAAACAACCAGGTGAGTATGAGATTTGTAGCAGCCAGGTGTATGACCAGGACTTGTCAATTGAAGCTGGTTTGTCCAAATGGCGTTCTATCCTTCTTCATCTTAATAAGCCTCCTATTAAACATGTGGGTGTTTTATTGAATGCAAATTCTCCCAAGTTGTATACCTGCCTGTCTTATTGTGAGTAGTACTCCTTTGATATATGGAGTCCTGTAGCCTCTTGGCTAGAGCACTCACCTCACAAGCGAGAGGCCCTGGGTTCGATTCCCTGGCAGGGCAAAACGTTAGGCAAGTTTCCTTACACCACATGCTTCTGTTTACCTAGCAGTAAGTAGGAACCCGGTTGTTAGTCGATTGGCAGATTGCTTTTCGGGGGTAATAAAATTAAGAAAATAATGATAATAATGATGATAATTTGGTCATTTAATCCACGACTATTTGTGGGACACCGCTGTGCGCAATTGGTTGCCGCGTTTCGCCCACAAAATAGACAGTCAATTCACTTTACAATGTATTCTGTGAAGTGCTTTCAGACGTCTCGAAGACTTGGTAAGGTGCTATATCAAATGCAAGGATTATTATCATTTGAGGCAAAATTCCACCACGGTCTAGAGTCACTCTATTTTACGAGGCATTTCAGAGATTCCAGACTTTGTGCAATTATTGAATTCAGTCTTAACTTTGAATCTTTAATTCTGAAAAAAGGCTTCAAAATTAATGTTATATTTAAGAATGTGCCAAATTCTGTATGTTCTGAAATGCTGTTATTGGAATAAATGTATTCCTAGATTGAATTTTACTCTTATTATCCGTTTCTTCCTAGCTACTGGAGATTATCAGTTAAATTAATGGGATGTTTGATAGCCAGATGTGGTGATGCAGGCAAATATCCATCACCATGCTTAAGAGAATCTAAATCAGACAGAATCCATATGTGTGCATAAATCTACATGTGGAAATTTCTGTACATCTACAGTTCACACTGTCTCCCTGGAGGAACACACCCTTTTACGTAATTCCGGAGATTATTAGGCACATGTTGGCGAGTGTCAAGGATTGGGGGCCCCAAAGTGCAATTGGATAACTGCTGGATTTAAAACATCTAAAACTGTATGGTTTGTGATTGAGAATTGAGACAGCGGCCTGCTGTCTGTCTATCAGACGCCCACCCTACCTGATAGGGGATTTGGCTTCCAGGGTTAAAAGGAGCCAAGGCGGAAGAATGGGTTGGTGAACAGTTTGAAAACAAGGTTGAGCCAACATGCTGTCACAGACGTCCTGAAGTGTGGAACTCAACAAACGAACCGAACCTTTCCTTTCACTTGCCCCATCTATTTTCTGTTCATTGCAGAAGTGGGACCTGCTTCCATGATAGTAGGGAACCTGGTGGCAGGAAAGCGAATTGCACAAGCTTCAGGGAGGGACATCTCACAGTTTGAAGACAATGATCAGGCTCGGAAGGTATGACCGTTCTATATATTGCAACATAAATGATTTAATAATACTTTTAGATGTTGCTTTTATTCCTGAACTTGTTATGGAACATTATGCTGTGCCGCATTGTATAGTTAGAAAGCTAGTTGACAACAAGATCTTTTGAGGTATATACCATGTAATTGTATTGAGAACTATTTATAACAGTTTTGCAGTTTCTGTGTGGGTGGTGTAAAGAAACTACAAAGAGCATTTAAAAAAAAACACCTTTTTCAATACAGGACTCCTCCAAGGGTGAATTGCAAGTATTAAATTATTTCTTATTGTTTCAAAAACGTTGGTTTAAACTAAATTTCACAGTCAATCTTTACCAAACACTGAAGCATCCATTAACTAATCTGTAGAGTTGTATTTTATTTGATGCTAATATCCCATTGACGGGCGCTGATTGGAATTAATGAAACCCTCTAGAAATTCTGTATGTTTTCAAATATTAAATATAATAAATAAGTTGAAATTAAATGTTATTTCAACAGAATCAGTAACTACTAACCCCCTAGAAAACTCTACTAGTTCATCGTTTGTTCCACATCCATGTGCAGATAGATCTTTTGCCGTTAACAAGGGGAACTGATTTAAGCAGTACTATCCTCAAAGAACTTTGCACTAAACATGATTTATCTTTTTTTATTAAGTGCAAAGGTTTAAAATAAAGGCAGGAGTTGGTCCTTAAAGTAACTTTATCAGCTGTAACTGATTTTCCTCTGTACAAAAGATGTTTCCATACAGCATTTTTTTAAAAATATATAGAAATTGATTCTAATTCTTGGTGATTTTCTTGGGAGCAGTTGTTGCCTCAATCTAAACCATCTCTAACAGTGAGACTCAGAGGTGGCTTTGGCCTCTGAGAACCTCAGAGCTAGTGTTTGTTTTGTAAGAGAAAATGAAGAATGTCAACAAAGATGTCCCCTCAGGGACTTAGTAAAGTCAGTGTAATATCCCCAACTACTGAAAGTGATTTGTTTAATAAAGAATTTAATTTCTAGTTTAACTGTGTACTTTGCCCATCAGTGAGCTAATACTAATGGAGAGAATTGACTGGCTGCTGCAGGCACTAGATTTTACAGTGAATTCTATGAAGCGGTTTGACATGTCCTCCTGACTGTAAGGTACAATATCATATGCAAGAATTATTTTTATTATTCCTCTTGCTTTAGACAGGTCATTAATTTTAGCCCCAACATAGAAGGATACCAGTTGATTGTGTTGATTGCACTAGTTTGTTCTGTTTCTCGGTGACCTAAAATCTCTATGCAAATTGTTTTGCAACTGGTACTTCTCTTTGCTGACTAATGCAGTATATTGTAGGTAAATTCAAGAATTAAATCGTTATTCGACAAATCGATTGAAGGATATAAAGATAGTTTAGTGTTTTTTTTTACTTTTAGACCAGCCAGATGGACTCAATAATCTTTTCAGCCTATGTTTCTAAGTATCATTTAAGAAGTATGTTGGGGGAAGGAGATGGTTCAATTACCTCCTGGTAAGTAAATTCATCCTTCCTTGAACTTGGGCTTATTAATTAGATTTCATCTTCTTTTTTCAGTTTCTATTCTTGGCAGATGTTCTATTTTGGCGGGCTCAGACCACACCAGACCACCCTCTTTTTCTTCTTCTCAATGCCAAGGTAGGTTAAACAGTGAGCCAGATTGCCAGAAAAAGGTTTATTTTTTTTATATATATATATAAAAATGTATTTAAATGCATTTTTTTTAAAAAGTGTCCAATTCTTTTTGATGTTTCTCCCCATTGCTGTATGCCTTTGTTCCTGGTCCCCAGCCTCTTCAGCTCGTTGCGGATCCACAGATGCTGGTTACTCTCTAGTACTCCGCTCTAGGGTACTTATTTGAGTGTGAATAAGCCACTTGTCTAGGAAGCATCACAGCCGAGCCTAATCTCACCCGGGTGGCACATGTACGCACCACCAATAGACGGTGTGAACCCTATGAAGAATCTTGAACCCTTGTGATAAGTTGTGAGTGTGGGGAAATGGACCCTATAGAATGATGTGATATAGGAAATTAGATCATCCTGTTGCTTTCGGGGTAAGACGTAGATGTAATATATTTTAGTTTTAGTATTAAATGTATGAAATGATTGAGTTTTATGAATACTAAGTATTTTTTTTCTCTTCCCCTACAAATAGGGCACTGTTGTCAATACTGCGACATGTATACAACTGCATAAGCGGGCAGAAAGGATAGCTGCGGCCTTGTTAGAAAAAGCACGTCTCAACACTGGAGACCATGTGGCCTTGGTTTATCCACCAGGTAAAAAAGGATAGAACGACATTTGTTTGAAATTCTTTATATGAACTAACCTGTTTAGTAAGAGCAACAACAACAAATTACACTTGTATAGTGCCCTTCATGTCAAAGGGCGCTGGACAGTCAGGGATTTTTGGAGAAAGAACAGGGCTTTTTTAAAAGAGCAGGGCTGCTTTTGAATTAATTTGACTCCAATTTCACAGTGGTTGTAAATTGACAGCTGTAGGGAGTTATTAAGGTAATAATGCCTCATGCTAACTCTTTATTCTGGAACTGATGCTGGTAAATTAGCTTTTTTATTAAATGTAATTTATTTGCTCTGTTTTGAGATTATGAAAGATTCACGTGAATAGTCTTCAGATTTAGTTTGAGAAGCACAAATGATCTTTGAGGTTATTAGCGATTTTGCGCAGTAATATCCTGTCAAGGTGGAAAGGACATATCTGAAAAGCACTGTGTGTTGGGGTGATTGTGAATAGATCAGATTGATGGATTGCGGTTCAGATTCAAAAAAGGCAGTAAATTCTATTGATTGTTATTTTACCCAAAGGACTAACTTAAATGTTTTTGCTGACCAACTTTTGCTGAATCAGTGTAGACATTTAAAGGACAAATTTAGTTGAATTCAAAGTCAATTTGTCTGTTGAATCAATTGGTTAACCAAGTTTAATCCTTGTGGAGTTTTTTTTTACATAAGGGGTGATTTCTCTATCCTTGAGGCATGCAGATTATTAAACGTACCCCCGTGAATCATGGTATTACAACAAATGCTTCGTGTTTGTTTCCCTCAAAGGCGTTGACCTCATAGTGACCTTCTATGGCTGTCTGTATGCAGGCTGTGTTCCTGTCACTGTCCGACCACCTCACCCTCAGAACCTTGCCACTACTTTACCCACTGTCAAGATGATTGTCGAGGTATGATACTCAAACTGTTTTAAGTTCTTTACTTTTGTAGAATTTGGTGATCCCAATCGACTTCTTTTGAGCTATGATCCTGTACTGTATGATTTTATCTGGGTGCTTGTTCGGGTAGGACCACCCCACCCGTTAGGACTTTGGCTTGCAAGGTTAATAATAATAATAATTTTTGCATTTGATATAGTGTCTTACTTATCACGTCGTTGAGTTATCTCAAAGAATATACTGTAAAGTGAATTGACTGTATGTCTTGTGGGCGAAAGAGGAGCAAAGTGGGACTGGTCTGCTGCTCCATGTCCTGCAAACAAACTAGGATGGCTGTTATCAGCAGCAATGTTCCATCAGTTGGAAATACAGCGCTTGAGTAGCAGTCGCTTACCACTTTGCATATGAATCAAGGCAGATACCAAGCCATTGATGTAGGATTGTGTGTTCATGAACCCAGACTCCAGGTAGCCCTGTTCAGCAGCCGTCATCCCAAGCCTCAGTTTCCTAATCAGCTATTTGGCAGACATCTCCTTCAGGGTGGTGGGAAAACCTATATGGGACAGCTTGTGATGTGCCAGCCACCTTCATGTTATTGATGTACAAATCCAATGCTGTGGTCCAGGTTACATCAGCTAACTGCTTAATCCAGGTTCTCATATAAAGGCTCCGAGCTATATCTATACTGTTGTGGAGTCCTGTAGCTCAGTAGTTAGAGCACTCGCTTTGCAAGCGAGAGACCTGAGTTCAATTCCAGGCAGAGGGCGAAACCTTGGGCAAGTTTCCTTACTCCACACAGAGCCTAATAATAATCCCTCCAAAAACAATAATAAAAATTGGTCATTTTCAATCTACGACTGTTTGTGGGATATTGCTGTGCTCAATTGGCTGCCGCGTTCGCCCACAAATATACAGTCAATTCACTTTACAGTGTGTTCTGTGAAGCGCTTTGGGACGTCCTCCCGACGTGAAAAGCGCTATATCAAATGCAAGGATTATTATTATTGTAATTATTAAACGGAGATATCTCACAAACTAGCATCTGAAGTGGATAAAAGCATCTTTTGCCAGATAATATTTTAACAGTTTGATTTCAAGATTACTTCTTTGCTGAAGGGGCTGGGTTATCATGCGTCTTGTACCATAGCTATAATAGCAAAAATAATCTTGATTATTTTTGCAACTCTAAATGTGTCAGATTCTGCATTCAAATAGTTACTCAGATCACAAACCAGAGATGGATTTTATCACTAGGATTATGGTTATTGAAGAGTTATATTGTTAGGCAGACCCTAAGAATTCCATGCTTTTACTCTCTGACTCAATATCCTGCACCTTAGCTTCCTTATGTCTTTGCTACAGCAAATTAATAGAAAGATAGGTTTTGCCAATAGATGTACACATCTGGATTATATTACTGTATCTTTTATGTAACAAATACACTAAAACTAAATTGTGAAGACGAAAAATGCTCAGTGAGTGGATGAGTCTGGATCTGGAATGGTGGGAGTGTACACAGCTTATTCTGATTTTGTATTTCTTGTTTCTTGGAGCTGCCTGTGGCATAAATTCTGCAAGCTCATAAACCATGAAGCTTCTAATTGAACGTCTACATTGGTTCTGCTTGGCCTCTGGTCACTGGCTCCAGTTGCTTTTGTCTCTTGATTGTAGGTAAGCAAATCTGTCTGTATACTCACGACACAAGCAATATTGAAACTGCTCCGGTCAAAGGAGGCAGCTGCAGCTGTGGATATCAAGACCTGGCCTACAGTTTTAGAGACAGGTAGATTTGTTTTTTACTAATCACTGTTTTACTGTTCTTTAGAAGTTTATCAGCCATGTTTTCACAAAATCTACTTATTTTTGTTTTTTTTGTCATCTTTCTAATAGATGACCTGCCCCGAAGGAAGCCTCCTCAGATTTACAAAGCACCAACACCTGAAATGTTGGCATATTTGGACTTTAGTGTATCCACCACTGGAATCCTAGCAGGAGTGAAGGTATGCAGTCAATAATGTGACGGTTGTGTGCACTGTTATAGCAGGTTATAGCAGGTTTGACTCCTGCACTGCATTGCTTACCCTGGATGGATTTTTCCAATCGTTCGTATCATTCTCAAAAAAAATTCAAAGTTCTGCATCTGTCATGAGTAGGGTAAATTCATTAGTCATCCAGCAAGCAACAGATGATCATGTCAAGACTGAAGAAGTTCAAGCCTGCTCACAAATTTACTTGATCAAAACTGGTAATGGGATGAAAGTAAGACCTGACTGTTAACACTGCAACTGAAAAACATAATCATTTTAAAAGATAATTGACAGTGGATATAAACAAAGATATGCCTGTTGACTCAGGCGATGTTCTTGTGTCTTAATAGATGTCGCATGCAGCAACGAGTGCCTTGTGTCGATCTATCAAGCTACAGTGTGAGCTCTACCCTTCCAGACAGATTGCAATATGTCTAGACCCTTACTGCGGCCTTGGTTTTGCACTCTGGTGTCTCTGCAGGTAGGACAGTTTTATTAAACTTATCAATCCTAACAATACAAACTGAACCCCATGACCATTCTTGCACATTCATAAGCATACATTCATTTCACAAGTTTGAGTTTCTAGGAGATTCAACCTTATTCCATCGACATGACTGTATCCAGTTCCACTTTGTGCATACACTTTCTGTATAATCTGTGAGTAACTTATACAGACAGTTCTCTGTTTTTAGTTTTCCGCATTTAATATTGATCTATTTAGTCTTCTTATAAGGTTCACCCACAAAATATACTGTCACTACATTTTATGTAAAGTGCTTTGAGATGTCCCTCCAGCATGAAAGCTACTATATCAAATGCAAGAATTATTATTTATAATGTATAAATCTAGTTCTTCCTCTCTCTTCCAACCCCTCCTACATACACAATGTCTCAAGAGTGTGGATGGTTGGAAGCAATATTGGAAGCAATATTTATCTGTGGAGATGGTAATTATGTATGTGAGACAAAAACTGTCATGACTGGTATGTCTACCTTTGTAAATCGGAAATGTATCTGTTAAAGATGCGCGATTACTGGCACATTGTATTTTGATTGTGTTGTGACTCACAAGTGGTTCACAAGTAGTATGATTGTCTTCAATCTCAGGTAATGGTCATATATGCTACAGGGCAATCCTGTTATAACACAGTTGTCTAGGTCTTTATTTCAGGCCTCTTGTTATAAGTAAAGAGTGAAAAATGGCTGACTTCTGGTATCTTCGACCATCACTTCCTATGCAAGAAGAGTCACAAACTGCAGGCTGTGCTATGTGCAAGAAACTGCTGACATCACTTACTTCGAAAAGTGATGTTAGCTATGCTTCCTATGCAGAACATGGATTATGCAGCCTCAGAATTTAACAATAGCAAAAGAAGTGCTGTCAGTAGCACCTGGATAATACATAAGTCAGACACTTTATAGCACTGGGACTGTGCTCCAAGTGTATCCTCATTCAACCGGGGCGGGGGAGGAGATGGGATATTTTTATCTCATTCCTTGGACAGATATTTGTAGATTTTTTTTTCTCTCTTCAGATTATTTTTTACTTAAAGTGTATTAAACATTGTGGGATATGGGGATTTCATGGCACAGAAGTGTAAGAATTGTTGCACAGCATGGCCATGTGGTGTTATGTGGGTTCACATGCACATTATTTCCCACTGCAGAATTCCTGTTCTTGCAGTTCCCTCAGGGCTGGTTTCAAAGTGATATTGGTGATGATGTAAGAAACGGCCACATCTACATTGTTAGAATCAAAGCAATGCTTCGATGGAATTTAACCTGTTCCAAGATAAAAGTTGTAGCGCACTATAAACACAATCGTGCATCAGATGTTTCAGTAGTCTCTCTTAAACAGATGTATCCTACAAGGCATTGTTGGATTTTCAAAAAAACAGGGATAAATGAAATTCCTATTTTCTGTTTCACTTCATATACTTTATTCATATTTATTTCCTTGAGCATTATTCACTAATCTAGTAAATTGCATTAAATGCCCACTCTTCAACATATTCCATTCCTATATAAGAGATTGTAACCAGCACATTTAAATCCAATGGCAGTTTTGTCCACCTCCCTTCCCCATCTATCTCTGGCTCTCTCTCGCTGTTTTTGTGGAGTCTTGTAACTCAGTGGTTAGAGCACTCCCCTCGCAAGCGAGAGGACCTGGATTCGATTCCCGGGCGGGACAGAGTGAAACATTTGGGAAGTTTCCTTACTCCACACGCACACACGACTCTGTTTACCTAGCAGTGAGTAGGAACTCGCTTGTTAGTCAATTAGCGGATTGTTTTTCCTTCAAAAAATATAAAAAATTGGTCACTTCATTCACGACTGTTTGTGGGACCCTGCGTGTGTAATTGGCTGCTGCGTTTCGCCTGCAGAACACACAGTCAATTCACTTTATAGCGTATCCTGTGAAGTGCTTTGAGACGTCTTGAAGATGTGATGAGGCGCTACATCAAATGCAAGGATTATTATTATTGTATATGCATTTACATTTTTTTTAATTCTTTCCAGCGTTTACTCAGGACACCAGTCAATCCTGGTTCCTCCACTTGAGCTGGAGAGTAACGTTTCCCTCTGGCTTTCTGCAGTCAGCCAGTACAAAGTGCGTGTCACTTTCTGTTCCTACTCCGTGATGGAGATGTGCACCAAAGGACTTGGCTCACAGACAGAGGCACTCAAGGTAAGTGGCTCCATGTGTGCTTCATTATTCCTGGAGGAAGTAATCTGTGAAACTGTAAAGTCGGAACCCTGGGTTATATACATGAAGTTCCTTCTGACGCAAAAGGTGCTATATAATGCAATTTATTGTTGTTGAAGCTGCTAATTTGCTGAAAACTATTTTTGATGTTTCTTTTTCAAATGCTATGCTCCTTGTCAACATTCAGGATTATAAGTGAGGCAACACATTGAATACAGTGAAACTAGTATTGTTTCTGTTTTTAACGTCTCTGGATTGCTGTCCTCGAGACAGCCCTCCTTTTCAATATATTACAGGAGTCTGTTTCTGAATTCATTTTATATTTTAATTTTTCTTCTTTTCAGGCAAAAGGCCTGAACTTGTCTTGTGTACGGACCTGCATGGTTGTGGCAGAGGAGCGACCAAGAATAGCACTTACACAATCCTTCTCTAAGTTGTTCAAGGACCTGGGTCTGTCACTGAGGGCAGTGAGCACAACCTTTGGCTGCAGGGTCAATGTGGCAATTTGTTTACAGGTGAGAGTGCTGTCCTGTGGGAACTGTCTCAAAGATGACAAAACATTGAAATAGTATTCTCCTTCTTTGAATTGTGCTGCATATTTGCACATTCCACAAGCATAAAATACATTGCCACTAACCTTTCCTATTTCACTTTGATTCTCTTTGTGTTCTTCTATTCTCATTCTTTTCCTTTCCTCGTGCCCAGCTGAATTTTGATACTGGCATTTCTTCACTGGTAGTGTTTAATTGCTGCTGTCAGTGGAGGAGAGAATTGTATGTTTGGCAGAAATGCTGGCATTGTAAAAAAGCAAAGCCAAAAATAGCTCTAATTTACTCTAGGGGTTTCAACTAAGTGTTAATGGTCTTTGACCATTCCTGTCACATAAGTAAAACGAATATAAATAAATAAAATATTTCCATTAATGTTCCCCTGAACAGTACTCTGACCAAGTTAGGACAATTACCTGATACTTTAGCCCACATTATTACAGTCTTACGTTTGGAATTACAAGGGCCCACTTTATATCGCAAGCGATTGGGGAAAAATCGTTGTACTTTGCATAAAGTTGATATTTTACCAGAGAGCAATGTGAAGTATTTGAGATGAACTGAAATTGGGAACAGTCAAAGATGTAAAGTGATCTATAGTTATTTCTTTATGCTTTGTGTAACAATTGCTTTGATGCAGCATGCCCTTGTTTCGGATTTCCTGAGTTGCCCTATATAAATTCAGCTATGTGATTTTTGCTAAAGCTGTGCTACTGTTTCCAGTAACTGTTTTGCTGTTTCTATTTGTCTCTTGCCTTTGCCTCTTGTCTCTTTAAATCTGGCTGTCCCTTCCTCTCTTTGGGCTGACCTCTGCCGTCTCAATTCCTCGCTTCCTTCTCCCTCGTGCTCTCAGCCACACAGGCTGGGCAAACTGGCTGAACAGGTAGAGTAATTTCGGTCTTATTCTGCCCCACTTTCTTTCTTAGCTTGTGGCTAAATGTTTATTTTAACCTAAAATATAATGCTGAAGATGATTGTTTAACTTGAATAAAAAAGTGTCAATTAACAGGGAGATGAACAGGGCCAATAGAAAAATTGTGGAAATATTTGCCAAAATTGCGGGGGAGGGGTGTCAAATTGTGCGGAAAAAAAGCAGGGGGTTGATTGGTGCTATTGAGAGGCACATTTTACTGCTAATCTACATGTTTTCACTTTATTAAAAGATAAAGAAATAACACATAATAGATGTTGCAAAAAAAATGAATACTTTCTTCATAAAAACTGTGTGGCCCACTCGGGGGTGGTGGGGGGGAGCAGGCCCAAAGGGCCGAATGGTCAGTTTCCAACCTGCACTACATTTGAAAGCTTAGAGATCCACTGAACATCAGCTTTGCTTGGCATGCTCGCCAGTGTCCTGACTGCGGGGCTGCAGTGGAACAACACTTCCTGCCTCTCGGGGCCTGCTACTGCACACACACACAGCAAGAGGCAGACATCTTGGAAATTCACCTTGTTGCGTTGTGTAACTATATGGTTTAGTGGAGCAGTGCAACCTTGATCACCATTGCGCTTCCTGTAAGCATGGTACCGGACTGCAGATTAATTTATTTAATGTTAGCAAAGAGCATTTATATTACTACCTGTGCAAACTCAAAGTGGTACAAGTCTGCCTTCTCAATATGATCTCACACAGCTTGCTAAGTGGAATCATACTCCAGTGCACCAATTTCATATATCCTTTACAAATATAGTAAAATTTCTTGCTCCCTGTGACTTAAGTTTTAGAATTAGTAAATGGAACTGGTGAATCTGATGGGAAATTCTTAATGTGTTCAATGCCTGGGAATGTTTTCTTATTATACGGCACTATGGTATGGTAAGGAATTAGTCTGAAACCTGTCTTTCTGTAAATTGGCAAAGTGCCCTTACCAGAATCCTGTATCCTCCTGGGAGTGGGGGGATGTAAGGGCAGTTTCCTTGAAACTGAACTGGCTCCAGGGTGACATGCCTGGCAATGGACTGTTGGAATCGAGCCAGCCCTCTGTGGCCGTCTCGGTAGTCTGATTCCTGAGCCAGGCGGGTCTGCAGTATTCCAGGGCACTGCTGATGACAGCACACCCAGCCTAGCTCATTGGCAGGATCTGAAAGGCAGACCAGTTTGGCAGGACCTGGGCAGGCAAATCTGTCCGTTTCGGATATTCTTAAGCATGGTAATAGGTTTCTGCATGTGTCAGACACCCAGCTGACCAAAAAAAGAAAATAATCCTACATCCCTTGCATCTTATCTCGAAATGTGAGTATTATTCAGATATTGTAACCGCTCCATGTTCTTGTAAAACTAGACAATAGTGCAGATGTTTTGAACCTCTGATTTGCAGAGGTCTCGTAATGGATCAGAATCTCCAGGCTTTGCATCAACCTATCCGGCTGTTGCTGGTCCATGTCACACCTGTAATTGTACTGATGTGATATTTGTAACCATGTCTCTTTATTTCAGCATGGATCACTTTAATACCCCTTCAGTTATTTTGTGCGACTCCTGTTTGCATTGCATTGCTCACCAGCAGCATCCTGTTTCATATGGCCATATGAAGAATAATTAATATTCTGTGCTACAAAGTAATTTTTAAAGTTTATAAAAGGCAGTAGCAAAGTTTGAACTATTCTCACTACCTCATGATGTGTTGCTCCCTTGAGAATGTTTATTCTTAATACAGTAACTGACACGTCAATGTGGTGATTATTCATCTTTTTCTATCTTTGGTTTAATTTTCCCATGGGTTATATGACAAAAGGTGCCAGACAGACATTTTAGCTCCTTCTTGTGCACAGTGTGATTATGCTTGAATTTATATAGTTTTCCCATTGTTTGTGAGCAAACACAAAAATACGTTCTCAAATAATTAAGTCATGGGGAAAAAAGAAGAAACTTTGTAACAAACACACCCAAGTGATCTGTAAAGGCAAATGTGCATAGTATGCTTTTTACCATTGTGTAATCTTGCATGTATTTTGTATTAATAATACTCAATAATTTTGTATATTCTGTTCTAAAAGTCTTGTCTGTCATCTTTTATTGATCCAATTGAAAACAATAGGATGTGTAACCATAATATCTTTAGAGACTGACCATCATTGGCTTGTTTTGTTTAGGGTACATCTGGACCGGACCCAACAACAGTGTTTGTGGATATGAGAGCCCTTCGACATGACAGGTATGCATACCCAACCATTTTGAAATTAATGACATTCTGTTTGTGTCAGGTAATTCTTCCTGTTTTATGCATTTATCCCATTCCATACCATCGCTGCTGTGCCCAAGACTCGGGTCAAGGCTCTATGAAAGCCCATCACCAACCGAGATACGAGTGGCAGCTTAGATCAACTCGCCTGCACCTCCAGGGGCATCCATTCTATGTCTCCGTTTAACTGCATACCAAAGATTCACAATATTGTAACTTGTACATTCAACTCATTGTACTATAATTCTCCGGTGCAATACTACAGGGAAGTTTCAATACAGGCTCCCTAGAGAGACAGCGGAAGCAGAAAATTTAATTTGTTTCAAGAACAAATTAGATAGATTTCTGCTAGAAAATAATATCTCGGGATACAGTGTATAGTTTGGGATAGGACATGTCAAGTGATTGCCAGGGTAGTGGAAGGTGAACTAGATTGGACCTTGTTCTTCTTTCACCTAGCAAATTCTTATGTTCTTATGTTTTGTGGGCAAATGAAGCAGTTAATTTGTGCCCAGCAATGTCCCACAAACAGCCATGAAGCAAATTACCAATTATCTTTGAGGGATTGTTGGCTTGGACACTGAGAGAGAGAAGCTCCCTTCTCCTAACATCTACATCCAGCTGAACAGAGAGTCAGGACCTTGGATTAACATCTCATCCATTTTTCTGTTTCCTGGTATTTTCTCTTATATGCAATATCGGTTCCATAATAATTCTTCTTTCTGTGGTTTTAGGGTGCGGTTGGTGGAGAGAGGTTCCCCCCATAGTCTTCCACTAACTGAGTCAGGAAAGGTAAGTGGGGCATTGGCACACAAAGGAGAAAAAATGTTTTTACAAATGTACCTCCCAGATTTAGATTTAGCCTTGCACACACTGATTTTGTTTTGCAAAGAGTTGCTACACAGCGGATATAGAAAGTCTGTATAAGGAAGGTAATAATGTTTCTTCTGTAGTATGTACAAAATAATATGAATGTTTCAACTGGCCACAGACAAACCAACATTATATATTTATCATTTTGATTATTTAAATACTGCAGTAAGTTCTACATTTTGTATACAGTATCACTTGTTCCAGGAATTGCGGGTGCACAAGTGTTAATCCACTTATAATATTCTTTGGAATAGAGGAATCGTTAAACCTGCTACCTTACACAGCTCTTCAGCTTTTTTTAAAATTTCATCTGCTTTCCAGATTCTCCCTGGAGTAAAGGTTATCATAGCAAATCCAGAAACTAAAGGCCCTCTGGGAGATTCCCACTTAGGAGAGGTGAGTTCTTGTGGTGATTTAACACATCATTACAATATTGCTACCATTAGATATGTACTAGGTATGATGGGAACAGAGCAGGCCCTAAATTGTAAGAGGAGGTACAGATTCTCAGAACAATATTTATCAGATTACTCCTGCAATAACCATGAGCATGAATCAGTAATCCTTCATAGATTGACAGGGCATTTCATTTTTTTTGTATCTAAGGTGTTTTATTGGTTAAAACAATTAAAATCAGGAGTCCTGGGTATACAGAAGTCTTGTTCGTGGCTGGGAGCAAAAGATGTAGAGAAAACTAATCTATAATTGACTGTTGCGTGTCTATTTTACAGATCTGGGTGAGCAGTCCGCACAATGCCACTGGGTACTACACCGTTTATGGTGAAGAATCCTTACATGCTGACCATTTTAATGCTCGGCTTAGTTTTGGTGACACACAGATTGTGTGGGCACGGACAGGTTATCTGGGTTTTCTTCGTAGAACAGAGCTGACTGATGCAAGTGGAGGTAAGACGTCGCGCATATTAACAAGTAGATAAAATAGCATTTGGTTAATTATGTTTTTAATATTAACCTCCAAATTGAGTTTCAATTATTAAAATAGTAACATTTAATGTAATCTTTATTTTATTGAGGAAATTTATTTTTAAGGTGTGTTGTGCTATAAGGGCCTTTCATGACGTATGCCAAATGTCTGTACATTGGGGTTGATTGGATTAATCTTCAGTGGCAAAGCAAGGACTATTCCCAGGTGATGCTTTTCAGCCCCTCTTTGTTGGCAAGATTTATATTGACCTTTCTGTTTTTCATTGCCATTTTTCACGCAGAACGCCATGATGCCTTGTATGTGGTTGGATCTCTGGATGAAACACTGGAGTTGAGAGGAATGCGTTACCACCCAATTGATATTGAGATCTCAGTGCTGAGAGCACACAAGAGTATTGCTGAATGGTAAGATCGGCATGCTTTACATTACCAAACTCTAAGATTAATAATAAATGGTAATTATCCAGCTAAGATGATTCTGCACATCAAAGGCTTCAACTCAGGTTGAGAATATGTCTGCATCCCAAGTTCCTATTGATCTGTGAGCCATCAACGATGTTTGGATTGCTCAGGAGCTGCTGGCTTTTCCAGCCACTATAATTGTTTCACCCTAAAGGTATATTGTAACTTTCATATTTTTCAGAAGCTAGGGGAACACTTGGAACATAAATTACAACCAACCTTCAGACTTGTTCCCCTCCAGCAAAGTCCATATGATAATATCTAATGTTTAGCTTGATGAAATAGTAGAGAGAAATTTGTTTGGGCTGTATTTTGAATGTTGTGGGATTTAATTATCTCTAAACTTGTGGTGGGAATTATTATTGACTGTTAAGTATTTAATAAGACTTTCCTAGAATTTTTAATTTATGGAATGTAAATAGAGGCAAGAAAAAATAAGTATTCAGTGTGATTCTAGAGCCAGGAATAATGGCATAACTAATAATTTAATACAATTGGTATGTATCACCAGCAACACCAAAATAACTTTCCAAGACAGGTTTTCATTTGTGCACTGTAATAATCTGATTGACTTCTGCTGCGTGAAGTTCTCCATCTTGAGCACTGTTCTGTTGCCGAGGTGTTTTCCTGGCTCACTAATAGTTTTTTCTCTTCCTTCTGCAGTGCCGTGTTCACTTGGACTAATCTGCTTGTCGTGGTGGTCGAGCTGGATGGTTCTGAACAGGAAGCACTGGACCTGGTTGCCTTGGTTACTAATGTTGTGTTAGAAGAACATTACTTGATTGTGGGAGTGGTAGTTGTGGTGGACCCTGGGGTCATTCCCATTAACTCGCGTGGTGAAAAACAGCGAATGCACCTTCGAGATGGCTTTCTAGCCGATCAACTCGATCCTATATATGTGGCCTATAATATGTGAACTCAGTATTCTGAAACTAATGCTGAATCAATGAAGGTGTTCGCCAGCACCCTGAATGTCCGTATTGTTCTTATATGCTGCAATTGGAAGAAAAGCAAAGAAAACCAGCCATGCTGACAAGGCAGATTCTGGGAATGGTGTGTATTTGAAGGTCAACACTGTTGCATATGATCTTTAGTCAGCAATTTCTTATGATGTGTTTTGCATAGCTCCAACACCTGCCATATCACAGAAGCCATGGGCTGGCCTGCCACATACTGCTGGCACCATATTAAATGTGAAGTAGTATTCTAGGAGTGTCACTGTATCACGATACATAGGGAGACTGCATAACCATACAAGGGGCAAGATAAAAGTATCTTCACTGTGTGGCATCGGACTATCTGCTGAATCAGTTGAATGGACATCAAATCGATCGTAAAGTTTGAGTCACCATTTTTATTTTTCATAAATTACTGCTAGTCCTTAAAGTTTCTCTTGCAGCCGCACTATCTTTGTGTGACAATGCATTTGGAGGTTCTTTAAATCAAAACTGTTCTTAATGGATATAACTCGGAACAGACCGCATGGATTCATCCTTGGCGCCTAGATGAATGGTCAGGCCAATTGTGCTTCCTTTTGAAGCTTTATTTACTGTTCACCTGAGCAAGAAGCAACGGAAATAGTCCTGACCAAGTGTGTGTCATATCCTGGACTTGGATGGGTGCCCCAATCATTTAGGAGTGGAGATGTTGGCAGTTCTTAGCCTGACGAGTGGTATAACCAATATATTCAGTGAGAATCATGTCATCTATATCACTATTGTGTTGAGAAGAAACCATGATAATCACCCTAAGCAACAGAAGCTCATGATCAAGCCTTTTCTTCAGAGATTATATTCCTAGGCAAATAAAACGAGTAAACTGTAATTTTTGTGATCAACATGTTGTGATACTTTTTATAAAGTATTGCCATATCATCCACAAAATTAGTTTGCAGCACTCTGTCATTGAATGTCTGTTTCCTCGCATAATTTCATGATTAAGGCCTGAAAGTGTCACAAGGGTGTAGAAGAAGGTCACTTTCTCAATTTAAAAAATATTTCAGAGGGCCTGCAGTCTGACCTAGCTTTAATCAAAGTCCCACCATGACTGAATTGATGCCAAGATCTTTTCATGTGATTGCCAAACACAAATCCTGTCAGTTGCTGCATTTTCCATCTTGTTGCTAACTTGCACTCACACACCACAGCATTTCTTGCAGTCTGGGGCCCAAAACACAGCACAATGTGGTGATTAGACAAATAATAAAGTTATTGCTAATGTTTCCAGATTTTGCTAAACTCCTTTTATTCCAAATGTGACAAAAGCTTATGATTAGTTCCATGTATCTCACATCAGGTTTATTGATTCCTCCCTGGAAATTCAACTTTTTATGCTATCCAATTCACTTCACCCTATCTCACTTCTTTATCACAATAAATGAGTATCGCCTACTGAGCACTTTAGAAAGGGATAGTGGTTATTACGTTAGAAATGTTAAATGTGTGATGGTCAAAGTACTCGTTTTGCCATTTATCCCTGCATGTGCTGTGTTTGACCATTGTTCAGATTGAACAATGGCAATACATCTAGGAGTACGGCTGGTGATTTATCATGGTGAGACATCCTGGATTTTAAAGGCCTCCTGCAGGAACCGTGATTTTGCCCAGAAGTTACATGATTACTTATGGGCAAAACTGAGTGGAAGAAACCAAGAGACTGTACTGGAGCTAATAGAAATTGTTAGGAACAACTAAAATAGTAGAGGGGCAAGCTGCGACTCGCCCTACTTCAACCTGACTAAGGCAGTGTAATTTTCCCTATTACAAATCCATCTATTTTCAATTGAACACAGGTTACACATAATATAATATAGTGTTAAAAATCCTGAATGGCTTTGAGCATAAATAATGACCAGGAATTCTTGTTGGTTGGTAAACAGTAACAAGGAAGGTAAACAATCTGAGACTATTACAGCATAGAAATAACCCATCAAAGTCTGTACTTGGGTTTTTCTCTGCATGAGCTGACAAAATTAATCCCACTTTCCTTTACACTCTCTATGCTCTTTAATATTCATCTTATTCAAAAACATAGTTCCTGATACAATTTATGAACTCTGCTTCAACAAATGTTTGTGGCAGAGATTTCCACCTTCTGTGTAAATAACTATAATCTCAGAATTGTCATTGGAAGAGTTAAGGGGGAAATTAGAAAAAACACATGCATGTGAGTTATTAGAATATTTAATACTTTGCAAGCAGTTATTGAACCCAAGAATACAAAACATGTAAAAAGGAATTGGATAAGTATTTCAAGAGAAACAAAACCAGCGTTTGATGAGAAGATGGGGAATTGGGTTCAGTGTTTTTTGTTCCATTAGAGTAACTAGCATTGAGTTCTTTGCTGTAATTTTTATGATTCTCACTACCTTGCGAATTTTGGCAACAATTGCCTTGCACTATCCATGAGATGGGAGTGGGACATAGTGAACCCTTTCCAGCTGAAAAAATGGTAATGCAAATATAAATTATATTAAATATATACTGAATTATAAATATGAATCTTTTCAACATTATTTTAGACCTTCAGAGTGACGCATATTCAAAAAAAACAATTTGTATATATTCCTGTGCTATTCAGCCATTTAAAGCATAAGATTGTATTTGAGAGAAATTTAAGGCTGTGATTTGGTGTGTTCATATATCAAGTCAGTTATTATTGTACCCTTTGTTTCCACAGTCTGTGTTCCAGTACACTATTAAAGCAATGATCTCATCCAATCTGACTATCAAATAATGGTAGTGAAGGAGGCCCATGTAGGAATTGCTAAGATAGAAATACAACAGGAGAATCACGGTGACCATCTTAGGAGCTGCTTAGGTGCAAATACCACAAGGTAGTTAGTCGTAGTGATTCATACAGAACATTAATACAGAATGAATTTCTGTAAAACGTCTTACTGTATACTGTGTGTGAATTTGTGTGAATGATGAATATCAATTGTTATAAGTATGATTTTTTTTTAAGATTCAGGTACAAATTTTCCACTCAATTTGCTCCCCAATCCTTTTGCTGACCTGGAGGTATGGTAAACTCCTGATAACTCGACACTTCAAGAGAAAAAGGCTCAGTGATGAGTTATCTAGAGTGGCGAGTTATACATACATACAAATGCATAAATAAATATAGCTGGCATATTGACAAAATGATGACTTAAAAGTAATGAGTGAACTTAAACAATCTAAGACTATTACAGAAATGATGAGTTAAGCCAGAGTCGAGTTTCTGGAGTTCACTATTTTTGGTTTTGATTTTTTTTTGCATTCTTATTTTGCTGCTGCTTGAGGCCTACAATGCTCAAAGAGCTAAAAGCACAGAATTTAATTAAGCTTTATACTGCAAAATGAATTTGTTTCATGGTAAATTTATTTTCACTGGAACTCACACTTCCCATAAATCTGTAAATTTAAATTTACCACAAACATTTTCTGAACTTTTGGTTCATTGCTCTCGTCAATGAAACTGACTAAGCAAAGCCGATTTCAAAGTTCAGTAATGCCAGCCAAGGAGCAGGGCTGAGTGCGTGCAGGATTAAAAATTGAATTAAAACAAATTTTGTTTATCGATCTTATTTACGTGGGGGCCCAGTTTCATTCATAAACCAGAATTGTAGAATGCTGCAACACAGAAACAAAAATAACATACAACCCAGCCTTTGAGTTCCTCCAGTCTGTACTTATGTTATTCGCCACATGAGCTATCCAGTCTTGTCCCATTTTCCTGCTCTGCTCTCATATCCTTTAATATTACTTTTTTTTCAAGCATATAATGAATTGCTTTTTAAAAGAATTAATGGACTCTGCTTCAAAAATCGTTTGGGTGGGTGGGTAATCCCACATTCCAACTACCTTGTGTAGGCTAGGTGCTCAAACCAAGAAGTTAAGTCTACAAGTAATCTCAGATGGTGGACAAATGTTCATCATTATCACCATCAGTGACTCAAAGTCCAATATTGTACCAGACTCCATTGGTCATGGGCTTCTCCATCTGTACTGACAGGTCTGCAATGGAAGCAACAGTGAATGACCACAGCCTAGCTCAGTAGGTAGCACTCGCCTCCTGAGTCAGAAGGTTGTCGGTTCAAGCCCCACATCATGACTTTGAATTAACAGGCTAGGTTAACACTCCAATATAGTGTTAAGGTTGCACTGTTGCATTATTTGAGGTGCCATCCTTCAGATCAGATGTTAAAAAGGGCCCTGTATCTGCTCAGGTGTCTTGTTGAAGATCCCAGGGCACTTGTCAAAAAAAAGGGAGTTTCTGTCTGTTCTTCAGGTGGATTTTAAGGACTTGGAGAATTTTTAAACTCTTCAAAAAGAGAAGTGTGTCCTGGCCAACAATCCTCCTAAATAAACAGCCATGAAGAGAATGTCCAATTTTGTGAGACGTTGCTGAGCGCAAATTGGCTGCCATATTTTTATACAAAAATTATCACAAAACAGTGAAACCTTTGAAATGTTTTGAAACATCCTGCAACAAGAAAGGTACTGCAATCAGATGTAAGGATTATTATCTGCAAGAAAAGTGAGACTTGAAGTGCTAAGTCCTGGGTAATTGATACGTTTAACATAACGTGGAACATGAGAAACTTGGACTCACAGTCTTATTGGAGCTAACTCTTCAGTTCTACTTCAGTGAAGAGTGGTGTTAGCACCAAGGGATAGGTTGGTGCCAGTTGGTATTGATACTCTGTATTCTTAAATGGGACCAGTTAGTCCTTCTTTAGCTAGCAATATTAATAAGGTATATCACTTGAGTCCTGTTCACTAACTTAATTCTATGTAAGTATGATCTTGCAATTTTATGTCACCTCATATGTCACTTCACAATTAATGAATGTTTTTGTAGATGAGCAGCATTTGCAAGATCCCACAAAAAGCCATTAGCTGAATTTAAAATTAAAGATTAAAATCCACCTGAAGTACAGACAGACTTGTGTCTCATATAATAATCCTTGCATTGATATAGCGCCTTATCATGCCTTCGAGACATCTCAAAGCGCTTTAGAGTATACTGTAAAGTGAATTGACTGTATTTTAGGGGCAAAACGTGGTAGCCAATTGCGCACAGCAGTGTCCCACTAACGGTCATGGATTGAAGTGACCAATTTTTATTTTTAGGAATTATTATCCCCAGAAAAGCCATCCGCCAAATAACTAACAACCAGGTTCCTACTTATTGCTAGGTAAACAGAGGCGTGAGAAGTAAGGAAACTTGCCCAACATTTCGCCCTGCCGGGAATCGAACCTAGGTATCTGGCTTGCAAGGTGAATGCTTTAAACACTGAGCTACAGGACTCCCTAGTTCCGCATTTTAAATTACCATGAATTAATGTACTAACAATGTATGCTTACATGGCATTTTCACATGCTACAATATTTCAGAGTCCTGTAGCTTAGTGGTTAGATCGCTCACCTGCAAGTGAGAGAACCTGGGTTTGATTCCCGGCAGCGCTAAACATTGGGCAAGTTTCCTTAACCCACTCGCCTCTGTTTACCTAGCAGTACAACAACAAGATTACATTTGTATAGCGTCTTTCATGTCAGGAGGACGTCCCAAGACGCTGGGTAAGCGCCTACTTAGCAGTTAGTAGGACCTGGTTGTTAGTTGATTGGCGGATTGCTTTTCTGGGAGAGTAACAATCTTCAAAAAAAAATTTTTGAAAAAACAATAATTTGGTCATTCAATCCATGACTGTTTGTGAGACACTGCTGTGTGCAATTGGCTGCAGATTTTCAGCCACAAAGTATACAGTCGATTCACTTTACAGTGTATTCTGTGAAGCGCTTTGAGAGTCTCAAAGACGTGATAAGGAGCTATATGAAATCAAGGATTATTATTAAAGTGCTTCACACACTGAGCCAGATTGACACCTATCAACAACAAATTACATTTATGTAGCACACCTTATGCAGGTAGTGTGTTGGATGGCTCTATGAAAGGAGGAATAAAAGTAACAGCAGGATTTTATAAAATAAAAAGATAACTATTTGAGTAAATGTAGTATTGAACACAATATGCAGATAAACACTACTTTTTAGAACTTTTACAGTGAGTAATTTAAAATAATGAAAGATTACAGAAAAATAGTGCTTAAAGAATAACAGAATAATGCAAAATAGAAAGTACAGTTGTTACTTTTATATAAGACACAAATAAATGTGTTATTTATCCAGCAGGGAGACTTCAGAATTGCCAACCTAAAATGTGATCATTATTTTG